TTCTTTCTTTCTTTCTTTCTTTCTTTTTTTTTTTTTTTAGAGAGAGAGAGAGAGTGGAAGGGAGGGAGAAGAAGAGGGAGAGAAACATCGTTCAGTTGCCTTTCTCACACCCCCAGCCCGGGACCCAGCCCACAAGCCAGGCATGTGCCCTGATCGGGAGTTGAACTGGTTCGCAGGCCAGCACTCAGTCCACTGAGCCACACCAGCCAGGGCAGCCTCATTCTTTTCCTCCTGAGAGCAGGCTGTCAAGCAGCTACCCTTACATTTCTGTCTGAGCTGCTCCAACAAGTACATCACCATAGCTTGCTTTTTCTTGTTTTTATGCTGGACAAACCATGTGTCTTTACTTGTAAAATGAGTTAATAAATACTTGCCCTACTCTACCATGTACAGATATGTGAGAATAAGGATAACTATGAAGCACTTCTTTAAAAGATTTTATTTTTAGAGAGGGGGAAGGGAGGGAGAAGAGGGAGAGAAACATTGATCAGTTGCCTCTCACATGCCCCTAACTGGGAATCGCACTGGTGATCTTTTAGATCGAACAGGCCAGTGGTCAGTCCACTGAGCCATGCCAGCCAGGGCTGAAACACTTCAAATTAAGAAAAGATGTGGATCCGCTCAATCCACGTTTGGATCTTTTTCCTACAGTCCCTATCACCATTCTATGAATGGATAAGACCTTGAGCGTTCCTTGATGTAGTTGAATAAGGAGGAAGCATCATGTCCAGCCTCCAGACTCATTTAGTGAGCAACATAGAAACTATCAAGAGAATAAAGCAGGGTTTGTATCTTGCAACTTTCTAATTCTTTTTCAGGTGTAAAATAACTGACAGGATGGTCTCTGAGGCCCCTTTTTAAAACTCCATTCATTTAATAGGGCTGGGTTAGAACTAATGCATGTGTTCACCTGTCTTCCTAGGTCACTGAACATGGCAGCTAAGTTAGGGGTTTAGGATTTTGGCCTCAATAACACTGTGAGTCAACAGAGCTAACAAAACAGAATACCTCATCTCAATTGGCCATGCAGCATCTGTGTTCCAGGTACTTTTCTAAGTGCTGGGATTACAAAGATACATGAGAAATTGTCCTCATCTTTGAGCCACTTGTAGTCCAATCGGGGAGAAAGACACAAAAATAGGTAGTTTTGATACCAAGGTAATAAGAGCAGCCATAAAACTTTCAAATTCTAAATCCTGAAAGAAACAAGCTAGATAGCCTTTTTTAGATGTGTGTGATATGGTAGGCACTCTCTAGGCATATTTCACGTGTCATCTCTTTTCATCTTGGAAATGTTATGAAGTGGACACTATTGTTATGCGTTGTTGTTTTTTGTGTTTTTTTCTAACAGGAAACTAAGGTTTAAACAGCACTGTCCAGTAGGACTTTCTGCAGTGGTGGAAATGTTCTACATCGGCACTGTCCTATGAGTAACCACTAGCCACATGTGGCTGTTGTGTACTTGAAATATGGTAGTGCAATTGAGGAACAGAACTTGTTCTTTTAATTTTAATAGTGATCAGTGGTTACCATATTGGACAGTCAGGCTTAGAAAAGTTCTCAATTTTTACAAGGTTCTATGTGACCTGATCCTCTATTATCTCTGCTCATCTCCTACTTTTCTCCTCCTCATCCACCGACTCTAGCCACCCTGGCCTTCTTGAGGTCCCTCAGATACACCTGGCCTGCCCCACCTATGCATAGCCCCCTCCCTTGTCTCCTTCAGGTTTTTGCTCAAATGTCACCTTCTCAAAGAGTCTTATCCTGGCCATCCCTGAAACTCCCAATCTCCTTTACCTTGCTCTTAATTTTTCTGTATCACTCATTGCTAACATGTTTATTATTATTTATTAACAGCCCCCTCCCCCCACCCCATAAGTGCCATGAAGATTTTTTTGTCTCCTTTGTTTACTGATCTGTCCCTAGTGCCAAGAATAGTGTCTCAAATATAACACTCAATAAACATTAGTTCACTGATAGGACTGGTAGGGTTCAGACCTGGCCTGTCCACACGAGAACCTGTATTTTTATTCACTACACTATATTTTCTCTTATGAGTGTAATGTACCTCCCAAAGTGAATGAGAGAAGGAACAGGCAAAAGAAAGCAGTATCCCTAATCTGTCCAATTTCACTGCATTATTGCATGTCTTCAAGGAAATAAAACAAATCGCTGCCATTAAGACACAAGCTGTTTTATAAATGACAGTATAGAAGAGCACATCAGCTCTATTTAATTTTTTTTTTTTATCCTCACCCAAGGACATTTTTTCATTGCTTTTAGCAAGAGAGGGAAGGAAAGGGTTGGGAGAGAGAAAGAAACATCTATATGAAAGAGAAGCATTGATTAGTTGCCTCCTGTATGCACCCCAGCTAGGGATCAAACCTGCAACTTAAGCATGTGTCCTAATTGGGAATTGAACCTCAGCCTTTCAGTTACAGGACAATGCTCCAACCAACTGAGCCACACAGGCCAGGGCCATCAGTTCTGTTTAAAACACAATGTTGCCCTGGTTCATGTGGCTCAGTGGATTGAGTGTCAGCCTGCAAACCAAAAAGGTTGCCGGTTTGATTCCCAGTCAGGGCACATTCCTGTGTTGTGAGCCAGGTCCCCAGTAGGGGGCATGTGAGAGGCAACCACATGTTGATGTTCCCTTCTCTTTCTCCCTCCCTTCCCTTCTTTAAAAATAAATAAAATCTTTTTTAAAATTTTTTTTAAAACCACAATGTTAATCCCCCCTTTTACACATAGTAAACAGGAAGGAGAAGACTTAGTGGTCTTCTAGAGTCAGCTAGAAAAGACAAGAATCCAAGCCAATTTATCTTATAGCCCAGTAAGGCAGTGTTTGAAGGTGCTTGTCCTAAATGGGTTACCTCGCCCCTTTGGCATCCAGTCTGTTTCTGATCCACTTCTGTGGAATTTTAACTCGGCTTAGATAAGGGCTGAGTCGGCCGCATAGGCGCTGGGGAATCCTCCAGGAATCCCAGGCCAGAACCCCTCTTTTCATTTGTGATCTCGTGGGCCAGAACAGCAGATCTGTGCGGGAAGAGCAGGCTGGCCTGTGGAGCTGGAAGAGGCAAACCCTGCTACATTCATTTTCCTTTGTTGTTTCATTTAGCCTTCCTGCACTGACAGCAAAGAATGAAATGTTTATGTGTAAAACAGATACAGCATTTCATGTTAATTTGTTGATGAATGTGTTGTTAGATCTCACCCACCAATCCTAAAGTCAGATTTCATTTCTCTTTTGGAGGTTTTAACCCTTTTCCCCAAGGAGGGCGTTTTACCTAATAGTAGTCTCTGTTTATCACACTTCCGTGTACCACAACTGTGATATTTTGATGTGTTATCATTACTGGCCACAACAACTCTGCACTGAAGAAACTGAGGCTCCAAGTGGTTGAGTAAATTTGCCCAAGATCCACCACTGGCCCGAGGAAAAGCCGGGATCGGAACCTTTTGTTCTCTTAACCGCCTCTGATGACGCTCAGCTGAGCCATCAGTAGGTCCTCCTGAGGGACCATGTTTTCTATCCTATTTAAAAAGTTTTCTTAAAAGGACAATAAATACAGTATATTCCCTTTATTTCCTAGGTAAATTCCATAATTGTGTAACTTATGCAAAGGAAGAAGGACAAACATATGACCTCTCCTTCCACATAGTACTTGGAGTTCCATCCTTTAGAAAGCCACAGGGCAAGTACTGAAAGAACCATTTAGCCATCAGTAAACAATGTGAAATTATAACCGAAGGCCAGCGAGCGGTGTTGATAATGCTCTCACGCCTCTCTCCGCCCGTCCCTCTCACCCCCAGCTCTGTTGCGTAGCATCCGCCGCGGACTGCTGCCAGACCTCCCTCCGGTCTGTTCCCTTCACTCTCCTCTGTGCCATTCATCTTCGGTACCTAGAGTTATCCTTTTTTAATGTTTATTTATTTTTAGAGAGGGGGAGGGAGGAGGAGAGAAAGAGGGAGAGCAACATCAATCAGTTGCCTCTCGTACGAGCCCCAAGCTCCAGTCAGGACCAAACCCACAACCCAGGCACGTGCCCCGACAGAATCAAACCAGCGGCCTGCGGTTTTGCGGAACTGCCTCCAGGCAGCTGGGCCTTGCCAGTCAGGGCTATGCTTACCTTTTAAAAACTTGGGTCTGATCAAGGCACTCTGCCACCTAACAGCCTTCTGCACCCCTGCCGTGTGGCACGGCCTTCAGTGCAGGCTCACCCTACTTTGCGGCACCCCTGCTACCCACTTGTCCTCTTAACACCATCGCTGCACCCTCTGCTCTAACCTGCAAGGCAGCCTTTTTCACGACTGTGCGTTGCACATGCTGCTTGCTTGGCCGCAACACCCACCCTGCCCCTCTTTTACTGGTTGAATCACAGCTTATGAAGACAGTTCTTTAGCTTTATTTCAGGTAGCGCCTTATTCTTACCACATGATAAAGCCTAGCACCATGTTTTAGTTAGTTATGTGTGTCTCTCCACTTGACTTCCGACTCCTTAAAGGCAGGACATTTTCACACCTGACATCATTTCTGGCACCTAGAGTTATAGAATACGTTTGCATTGACTATTTAAGCTGATGGCATTTACAGAGTTTTGCGCTCTCACTTCTGAAGGATTTTATCTCACACATGCTCCGTGAAGAAGTGGGTAATGTTTTTCTATACTATTATTTTACTATAATCTCTATAGATGAAAAAAATTAAAAAGGCAAAGTTGAAGTGACTCCAAAGGGGAAAGAAAAACATGTAAAATTGGAGTACATCTTTACCAGTGTTTTTATCTTGCGTTCTGATAGATTCTGATCACTTTTCAACTTACGGAACACGAGATACCTGTGTCGCAACCTCAGGACCTTATCGGAGACGTGCATCCCTAGAAAGTCCCTCTAGAAGTTTTTAATGGGTTCCTCTGGGTTTGAGTGATGTTCTGAATTTACTCAGGCTGGGAGGCCATTTAGTCTAGTCTCAGTGGCTAAATCTCTTCTTTTCTCCACAGGGAAACAACTGGAAGGCATCTGGTAAGTTGGGTGGGACTCCTTACAGTGACTGGTTTATGAAACAAAGCTGTACCCATGCATTTCAGCTTCCAGTCCGTGGTGTCCAGCTTGAAACCTGGCCTTCTGTATCACAGATCTTCAAGCTGTAATGCAGTGGTTCTCAACTGGGGATTATTTTGACCCCACTCCCAGGGACATTTGGCAGCATCCAGAGACATTTCGGTGGGTGGGCAGAGGCCAGGATGCCTCTGCAAACACCCTACCGTGCGCAGGCAGCCCTCCACAGCCAAGGATTCTTCACCGCAAGTGGCAGTGGTGCTGAGACTGAGGAAGCCTGTCCTAAAGGGAGGCCGAGGGGTGTGCTGCCCACCCCGACCCAGGTTTCTAACTACAGAAGGCTCGGGGCCCCAGTCATCTGTCTTAAACACTTCTACTTTGTTCTCTCACTATGGACCTGTCCCCGTCAGACAGGATCATGGCTGAGCTCTCGGTTCCATTTATGAGGAAACATGAGTCAGTATATTTGCTCTTGACTCCCATTGACTCCCATGCTGACACTGGATTGACCAGAATGACCTTTTGCTTTGTTTGACTCGAACCTAATAATGATGACACCTTCACCTGAAACAGGCCCACACTTTTCGCATCATCTGCTCTTGCCTCAGTGCGGTCCAGGTTCACTCCTGTCAGTTTAAAAAGCCTGGGGACCCACCTTGCTCTTTATTTCAGTAATTCACTTATCAAAATCAGGGTGACTCTCTAGGGACTGCCCTCTGCTCACATGACCTGCTGCAGTGGTTCTCAACCAGGGACAGTTCTGAGACATTGGGCAATGCCTGGAGACATGTTTGGTTGTCACAACTGAGGGAGTAGGGGTGCTACTGGCATCTGGCGGGTGGAGACCGGGACACTGCTAAACGTCCTGTACCACACAGACAGCCCGCAACGATTATCCTGCCCCAAATGTCAGCAGGGTCACAGCTGAGAAACCGTAACCCATGTTCTTTATCTTGCCTTCGTTTGGTTAGTTTTATAAGGCTGTCCTGTCCTTGGGCAGAGATGATTCTCGTTGCAGCGTCTTGATTCCTTTTTCTCGGACCGGTTCTACACTTTCTGGCTTACGCTCTCTCCTCTGCGTTGCAGGCACACCTCCATCGTTGTGCACAAGGATGAGTTCTTCTTCGGCAGCGGTGGCATCTCCAGCTGTCCCCCAGTGAGTGTCTTTCCCCACAGCCTGTCCTGCAGTCTCAGGTCCCTGGGGATTCCCAGAGACCAGGAACGTGGCTGCTACTCTATATGTTCTGGCTTCTAGCCTAGCGTATGCGGGTCTGTTGCATAGTTTAAGACTCAGCTCAAGAAAACTCTTCTCAGACCCTCTAGCCAGTCGCTCTCCTCTCTGCTCCCATGGCACTTCTGGATCCTTCTGTGTCACACTGAGCATGTTATGGTGAAATTAGCTGTTCCTGAGTCTCCACAAGGAGCTACATGTAAGCTCCTTGTAAGCTGAGACCATGTCTCACTTTTCTGTCCCCATGACCAGCTCTGTGCCTGGCTCATAGTATGAACTCAGCCAGTGCAAAGCTGAATGTGCGGGCTGAGAGGTAAAGCGAGCTGCCCAAAGTTGCACAGCCAGTTAAGTGGCGCCAGTACTAAAACTCAGGTCTTTGACTCTAAAGCCCATGCCATTTTCCAAAATATTTCTTTCTGAGCTATCTAAGGATTGTCACGGAGGCGCTCAAACAAAGGCCACACGGCCATTCATTTTGATATTCACAAAGCGGGGGAGGTCATTCTTGGTATTTTCTCACAGGTCCCACACCTCCTGTAAGGAATCCTTTACTAAGCCCAGTCAGTGCCACCTTGTCAATGTGCCTTAAATCAGCCCCTCCCTCCTCACCTACTCTCGTTTCTCCAGAGCGTCCCCTTACCCCAGGGCACGCTTGTGTCTGGCCTGGGCCACAGCAGTCAGGACTCCTTTGTCAGTCCGTCCTCCCATGGGAGGCAAAGTGACCGTTTCAAAATGAAAACCTGATCATGGCATTCTCCTGCTTCAGTCAGAACTCTTCCCCACTGCTGTTGAAATAAAACCCAGAAAGCTCAGCGTGACCGCCAGGGCCCTAGCTGCTCTCGGTCACCATCTCCGGACGACCTCTTCTCAAGTCATGCCCTCGCCTACCCCCCTTCTTCTCACTCCTTGAACACACCTTGGACGTTTAAACCTGTCCTCTGACCTCACTGCACCTCCCTGGCCCCTCACTGTGTCACGCCTGTCCCTCCTTCAGATCTGAGCTCCATGTCACTTTCTCAGGCAAGTCGTCCCTTACCTTTCCAGCTGGGACAGTCCCCTGTCATATGTACTGACAGCATTCTGTAGTTTCCAGCAAGACCCCTATTGCAACTCATAATCACACTTTGGTGTACAGGATTATTTTTGTCTGCCTTCCCGAGGGCAAGAATCTCATCTGTCTTGTCCACATCATACCCCTAGTGCCCAGCATAAGGCCTGGCATATAGTAAGTTCTCAATAAATATATGTTACATAAGTGAATGACAGGGAGGTCAAGTGGTGACATTTTAGTCTCTGGTAACTCAGATAATTTTTCTCTGGCTACCATGATTATCCTGCTCACCGTGCCTGCCCTCGTGCCTGGAACAATGTCAGGCATGCAGTAAGTGCTCCTTAGCTATTGCGTAAATGCGTGCTCTGTGCAGGCAGCCCTGACGTGGAGTGCTCTTTTTCCCAGCTCACTCCCAGCCCTGTCCTCCCCAGTGACGCTGGTCCTTCCCCCTTGGCTGGGGTACCCCCGGGCCTCAGGCTCTCTCGTGGTCTGCAGGGGCAGCCCGTTAGCCCATGGCCAAGGGTCTCCTCTAGGCCTTTCAGGGGCCATTAGCTCCCTTGCCTGAGGAGCCCTCTTAGCAAGGTTAGATTATCCTCACATATTGTAGAAGAACTGAATTGCGAAAATACCGGCCAGCCCGCGAGATTTCTCACAGTCCTTCACATTTTCCCAGTGTTCAAAGGATATTGAGTGTGTCTCTGGGAACACCGGTTGCTTACCTTATGAATGCAGATGCAGAAATGCGGCCTGTCAAGTGGGAGCCATTTCCAGTTGTCCCATTCTACCCTCATGATCAGGCATGTTGGGGACAAAGGGAGACTTCAGATTCTGGGTTCCTATCTTTCTGTCAACTGAATGAGTGGACAGCATTGGGAGCCTGACCTGCGTGAGACTCAGCTTCCCAGAGACCCCCCAGAAACTAGAAGCCCAACTTCTTAGCCATTTTTCTAGCATTGGCCATGGAAAGTCTCCAAGAAGCTCTAACCATGTGTGTCCAGCCCGAAGGCCGCATGCGGCCCAGGATGGCTGTGAATGTGCCTCAACGTGAAATTGTAAATTTACTTAAAACATTATAAAAATTTTTTTGTGATTAGGTGTCACAATGTATTTAATATGTGGCCCAAGACAATTCTTCCGGTGTAGTGCAGAGACGCCAAAAGGTTGGACCCCTGCAAGCCACAGTAGCCCTGATGCAAATAGGAAATAACACCCTTCATCGGGCCTGGGTGCTCTGAAAGTTAAAAGTTGTTGGAACAGAGCATTTGTGGTCTCCTATGGAAAGCCATATTTAAAAATTCCACAGAAATAGTAATTTAATGACTTTCTTTGGGTTGGCTCTTTTAGGGAGGGACATTGCTTGGGCCCCCAGACTCTGTGGTTGATGTGGGGAACACAGAAGTCACAGAAGAAATCTTTCTGGAGTACCTGTCCTCCCTGGGGGAGTCTCAGTTCCGGTGAGTGGAGACAGGGGTGGTGGTAAGTTGTGTCTGTCCCCCCCACTAAGTGATCAGCCCCCCAGGAGCGGCCACCAGGTCATAGCCCCCGGAGCACTCAGCACAAGGTCTGGCCCAGCATTTGCTGAATACATATGCAGAGAGGGCAGTTACCGTCCCACAGAAGTACTCAGCATTACTCTGAGGCCAATGTTGCGTCCTAGCAGACCTTCAGCTGAAACGTTGAGAAAAGGATGGGCTATTGATTCCTTCTGATTACAATCAGATGCTGCTATTTTAGCAAATGCTGCTCTCCACCCACACTGGCCAAATATTTTATCCTGAAAATCAAAAAACAAGGTTTGTAGAAGGGTTGGGATAAAATACAAACTTGAGATTTTTCTCTTAAAGAAGCTTTAGTCAGTTTCAGGAAGTGCTAAACTGGAACCCTAGGGTTCTGCTTTTGTGAATGTAAAGATTCTCCTGAAGTTGTAGAGGAGCCTCGTGTTTGTATTTTATCCTTCCCTTCGAAAGCTGTTTTCAATGGTCCAGAGAGGCAAGTCAAGCAATCCTTTGGAGAGAAGGGAAATCACAGTCCTCATGGGCTCACCCTTCTACCACCTGGTGTGACTTATTTCATCCACTTGCTTGCTGACTGTCTCATATCTGTTCTCCAAACCTTTCTCACAATGTAGAGGTGAAGCCTACAACCTCTTTGAACACAACTGTAACACCTTCAGTAACGAAGTGGCCCAGTTCCTGACCGGGCGGAAGATCCCTTCTTACATCACTGACCTTCCCTCTGAAGTTCTCTCCACGTAAGTGGCCTCTCTCTGTCCCTGCTTTTGAAGTCCCGCTTTATAATCAGTGCCACTCCTCTGCCCATGTCTGCCCTCCCCTGGTGTCGGCAGACTCGCCCCAAGCCAGTGGGCCCTGTCATGAAGGCAGCTTCAAACATGGAAGGCCAACCAGTTTCCTCTTCTCAGCGATGCTCACCTTGTTACCACCTTCGCCCACCTTGGAGTTGGACCACTCTATCCTGGCCTGTGTACAGCTGCAGAACTTAGAAACCCACGTGTACAGCCTTTCCCACTGCACATGAAGCGTGCCACTCCCCATGAGTGCCTGCTTAAAATGCAGGGCTTTTTAGCCCTGGCTGGGTAGCTCAGTGGGTTAGATGTCATTGTAAGATGCCGAGGTTGCAGATTTGATTCATGGTCAGGACACATACAAGAATCAACCAGTGAATGCTTAAGCAAGAGGAACAACAAATCTGTGTCTCTCTCCCTCTGTCTCTCTCCCTTCCCCCACAAAACACCTCTCTTTCTAAAATCAATAAATAAAAAATAACACATAAATAAAAGGACACACCCACCCAAAGCTATCACACCCCTCCCAGCCTTTGCTATTGACCTCGTTCAAGCAGCCTCTGCCCACTCCAGGACAATGTCCATTTGTTGACTCTGACTCAGTTTCTCCTGAACTGGGGCTCTGTCCAACAGAGACAGCTGGCAGGTTTAGCAGGCTCAGCAAGGCGAGCTGTTTTTCACCCTGAGTAGGAACCCTTTAGGAAAAACTTGGCTGGGAAACGAGGCTGTTGTGTCAAGTTGGTGAGGAAAACCCCGTCTCCCAGCCCTGGCCCTGCCTTCCTTAGTGGGTGTGTGAGACCCCAGCGCCTTCCTAAAGGATCTAGGTTATGGGGCCTGAAACAAGCTTTAGTAGCTGGAATGTTCTTGTTATTATGTGATGGGTGGAGTCCCTGAGCTTGTCTGAATTAAGGTTAATATTCCTCAGTTTCATCTGTTTATGTTTTGGAATATTTCATTCCCCTTGAGCTTGGGGACAATTTTCAAAAATGGCAGGATCCCCCAACAGAAACAAACCCACTAACTGAGGTGTGTTGTGGGCAACCTGTTTTAAGGCTGCAGTAATCTTGGAAAATCTCTGAGATGCAGTGCAGTATTCCTTCCAGCTAAGTTCCTTTGAACAAACAGGGAGCCCTTTGCAAAGTGGCATTAACACCTTCTAACAACCCACATTTGTTGTTTTTCCCGACTCTTCCCTGTTTCCCTAGCAGACCTCAGTTCCTGGAGGAATCTCACTCCTGACTTTACCTTTTTTGTGTCCTTTTTTTTAAAACTCAGCTTCCTCGTTAAACTTTATTTTTATCCTCTTGTACCATGAGAATTCAAGATGCAAGTACAAGAAGCTCTAGTTCCTGTATGTAGTCAGCCTGTTCAAGCCACAGCTAACCAGGACCTAGAAGCAAAGGTAGTGAGATAGTAGCATCTACTGAGGAGGGGACCCCAGGAGTCAAAATGCGGAACAGGCTATTTAGAGATCCCCCCCAGCTGTGACAAACCACGTAGGAGGTAGGTGAGAAAGTGGAATGTGTCCTCCCCGGTGCGGCGGTGCCAGCTGCAGCGGCCTGTGCCCCAGAGCCCACCACAGCTTCTGTGTCTGTTTTCTCCACAGCCCCTTCGGACAGGCCCTGCGGCCCCTCCTGGACTCCATCCAGATCCAGCCTCCCGGAGGGAGCACCGTGGGCCGACCCAATGGCCAGAGCTAACAGGACTGCATGGACCGCCCTGCCTCGCCAGGGCTTTTTCTTTTTAAACAAAACAAACCCTACCAGATTTCTATTTTATAATTTTACATCAGAGCTAACAACCAGGGGACAGCTTTTTAAATTTCCCAGGGAAGGAGATCATCAGGCTGCGTGTAGGACAATGCTGCTAAGAAACAGAACAAAACGCCATCCCTTCTAATAGTATTATACTAATTTATTAAGGCTGTCTTGTCTGTGAGTTCACTTGTGACCCTGCTTCCTAAGCGTCCTCCACGCCCGAGAAAGGGAGTGGGTTAACGCAGAAAGTGGAATCACAGTCTGGGGGAGCCCCAACCTAGAACCTCTCTCCAGAGGACGCCCATGCGCTACCCAGGTGGGCGTTACAACACTCATGACCTGGAAGCAGTTTCTCTCTAGTGCTAAACGAACCAAAGGAGTTGGTGTACTCGGAACCAGTTTGAGGATGACTCACCCAGCCTAAGTGAACTCCTTAGCCACAACCTGTGTCACCTTCCCTCCTGTACCCCAAGCAAGGCCACGGGGTCAGAGCTGGAGCAGCCAGAAGCCTCAGAGTGGAGGGAGAGTGACAGCAAGTGTCAGGCAAAGAAAACAGGATAAAGCCACTCCCTCCTAGACCGATTGCCAATCCTCTGACATCAGTTTTGGAGAACCTGCCTTGCTGCCTGCAGGCTGCTCTTCCTCAGCATAGCTGACCTGTCGTGACCGCTGGAGGTCGGGGCCGGAGCAGCAGAGACCCGGGCATTTTGTCTGCAAGGAATAATGTAGGTCATGTGCAGTCACCGGACCCACCCCCCTCAGACCAATATGCAGTCTTCGGCTAGGACCAAGGGGAAATGACTCCCTGCTCTAGGAAAATATCCCTGATGTAGAAAGATAATAATGAACAATCAAGGTGGCAAGCAAATTTAGAGTTGCTGTCGATAGGAATTTTTACATTATCCTAAATGTGTTTTGAAGACACGTGTTGTTTCCCTTGTCATTCTGAATTTAAGGAAGCATGGCATGCATGGGCATTTTCCTTTTCAGCTGCTGCTAAGAGCTTACAGGCAGGGAACAATCTGGAAGTTTCTTATCTAGAGAGGCTTTCAGATTCCTTTTCTTCACTTGAGTCTCCCCTTAAGTTAGCTTTTGGGGAAGTGACGGTGGGGAGAGGACTGAGCGCTGCCAGGTGCCTGCGTCCCAGCTCTGGCGTTCTTGGGCCTCTCCTGCCACTTCTCAGACTTGAATTATGTTGTCTTTCCTGGGGTTTGGCCTGCAGCAGGTGCCTTTCCTCTCCAAAAAGCTGCTGCTCACCCCTGGCCACCTCTCCTCCCGCCTGTGCCATCAGCCGTAGCAGTCGGCATGATCAGGGTCTCAGCTAGAGGAAAAGATGCCATTCTGCCTTAGTGTTCACCTGTGACCTGACCAGAGGCACGTGCGTGATGACCAGCTGTGATGTCAAGTGACATTTTGGAACTTCTAAGGTTGGAGGCCAAACCAATGAGCAGTTTAGTTCTAATCAAGACGCACTGATTTGCCAGAATGCATGGTAATGTATATTGGAGCAGAAACTGGCAGGGAACCCTACTTAACTGTTGACCGACTGGCTGAATGGATCATGGAGAATGAGTCTCAGGCCGGTGCATCCCAGGAAGGCAGCGTATTGGTCCATGCCTTTTCCAGCCTGCCTTGCCCAGCCCTCTCTCTCTACCAGGCTCTTGCTCCAGACCCCTCCACACAGAGCTCTAGCCAGAGGGTGGGCCTCACAAGCTCATTCTCTCCTCCCTCCTCCTCATTTCCAGGCCTAACTTGGTTCGCCCCTCCCAGCAGCCACCTCCAGACCCAGGGCTGTACTAAGAAATGGCTCCCCTGAGAGGCTTTGAGTCACTTGGTTCATCAAAAGTCCCTTTCATGTCCAGCAGCTATTTGTGCCAATGCCTGTGCCCTAGGGGAGAGACAGAGGGGTCAGTAAACTGCCTTCTCGGAGGCCTGCAGGAAAGCAAGCTCTCCCTATGCCACCCAAGTCCCAGCGGCACTAACTTTGGAAGCTCAGGCTCAGCGCGCCCCCTCGGCCCCCCCCATCCTTCATTTCTCGTCTCCCAGCACCTCAGGAGCGTGTCCTCTGTGCCCAACCAGCTCCACATGAGCATGTATGGGTGAGCAGAGCGACAAGTGAGCCATGTGTTTGTTTGTAGCGCACAGCGGACACTCCATAGAGGTCCACTGGTGTAAAAGAACAGGGAAGGAAGAGGGATGAGACCAGCACCCCCACCCAGAAATAAAGCTTGTACCTTTGAGATTCCTTATTGCCCTTGAAGTCAAACTAATAACTGTTTAGTACAGAGATGTTTGCCGGTTTTCTTTGATGTTTTTTCTAATGCAATAAACTCACTTCTGCCTGCTGTACTTGTGTCATGCTTGGCGTTCTGGGTGTACGTCCAGCATGAAGCCGCCTTGGCTTCTCAGCCTCTGAGCTTGGCTTGCTGAGTCTGGATATGCTGCCTTTGCTCGGCTATAAGCCTCACAGGTAAGAAGCAAAGAGAGCAGCGAAGAGTATGACTTTCACTGTTAGTTTATAAAGATGGAGACATGGCCCAGAGAGAATACTACTTGCCCAAGGTCACCTCACAGCTGGTGGTGGAGTAAGACTCAGCCTTGCCCTGGCTGGTGTGGCTCAGTGGATTGAGCACTGGCATGCAAAGCAAAGGGTCACCAGTTCAATTCCCAGTGTAGAGCACATACCTGGGTTGCAGGCCAGGTCCCCAGCAGGGGGTGTGTGAGATGCAACCACACATTGATGATTCTTTCCCTCTCTTCCTTCTCCTTTCTAAAAAGTAAATTTTTTGTAAATCTCAAAAAAAAAAAAAAAAGGCCTGGTCTGCTGGCCCCAACATCTGTGATCTAGAAGACCTGGGCCACCGGAATATCTGACCTCACTGAGAACAATTCACTTCTGGCTTCAGATGGGTCCCAGGGATCTCTCCCCACCTTGTTACCATCACCTCACTGAACAAGTGTTATGGCGAATGACAACTCTCCAAATGCCCCCTACTGCTACCAGACACTCCAGCTTGACTGCAGGTGTCTGCAGGTTCAGTTGCCTACCTTTGAGCACCTTCATGGGCCCGGACTGTGCTGTGTGTTCTCATGCAATGGACTGGAGGTGCAGGTACTGGTCCCACTCACAGATGGGAAACGGCTATCCAGGTGGCAGGTGGCTGAGCCCTTGAATCAAGGCCATGTTCTCACCACCACCCACTGACGCAGTGTCTTTGCAATGTGCCAGTTTAAGAATAAAACGAGGTTCTGTCTCCAGAGGACACAGGGCAGATGGCTTTGACTTACATATTTGCTTCCCAAGAGCTGACATGTTCAGAGACAGGAGCCCTTAAAAGTGCCTGCCCTGCCCTGGCTGGTGTGGCTCAGTGGATTGAGTGCTGGCCTGTGAACCAAAGGGTTGCCGGTTGGGTTCCCAGTCAGGGCACATGCCTGGGTTGCAGGCTGGGTCCCCAGAAAGGGGCGTGCGAGGGGCAGCCACACATTGATGTTTCTCTCCCTCTCTTTCTCCCTCCCTTCCCCTCCCCTCTCTAAAGTTGGATGAATAAAATCTTTAAAAAAAAAAAAAAAGCGCCTGCCCTGATCCTAAGTCCTAACTTTGCCACTTTGGGCCCGTCCATTTGTCTCTTCTCACAAAGTGGTTTTGAAGAGAGTTGATGTAAAGCACTTCGCCCAGCGCCTGGCACAGATTAGGTGCTCGGTGAATATCAGTCTGAGGGAAGGGTTCATTCAACTGTCACCAACTGAGGAGTCTGCGAGCCAACTCCACGCAGAGGCCCCGGCCATTCCTCTCTGCTGAGGACAGTTTATAAGACAAGATACTGTAGACATGCACTGCCCGCTTCTGGGGGAAATGGCAGGGAACACACTTTACCCTTAGATCTGGCGACTCATGGCAAGTCAGACCAGGGTAAGTCCAATCCCGCGAACATTGCCCTGGGAGCCCGCTGCGCGTGGAGCAGCGCTGGCCCCTGTGCTAGGGGCGCAGACAAGGCCCTGCCAGGCAGGCAGGAGGGACCGTTTCTGGGAAGGCTCAGAGACAAAAGGGTGTGCAATTGGTCATCTCAGGTGGTGACAGCACTCAGAAAGATATAAAACCAGGGGGCAGCAAGGGGAGAGGGGTATGTGCTAGGAGTTGGGGAAGCCTTGTGCAACAAGGTGATGTTAAATCTGAGATCTAACAAAGCCCAGATCTGAGGGATGAGCATTCCAGGCACAGGGAGCAGCAAGTGAAAAGAACATTGGAGAGACTGAGGGAGACCAGAGTGGCTGGAGCACCAGAGCAATGGGGGACGGCAGGGAGGTAGGATGCTGTAGAGGTGCAGGAGTCAGATGGTGCAGGGCCTTGTAGGTCAAAAAATGACATGATCAATTGCTGTGCTGAGAACAGACTGGGGCAGGGGGGCAACAGGGGCCTCAGAAAACCAGGATGGGGGTACTGCAGTTGTCAGGCGGGAGGTGAGGTGTACTGAGTGTTGCTACATGCCTGGGAGCTGTGAAGAAGCTTTGGAAATTGGTTTGGTCCCCGCTCCCCTGGAGGAACAGAAGACAACGGAAACCTGTGAAGGCAGGAACTACAGGCATCCCTGACTGGCGTGGCTCAGTGGGTTGGGCATTTTTCCACAAATCAAAGGGTACCTGGTTCAGTTCCTGGTAGGCGCACATGCCTGGGCCACAGGCCAGGTCCCTGGTTGGGGGCACATGGTGGGCAACTGATTGGTGTTTCTCTTGCACGTAGATGTTTCCCTCTCTTTCTCTTACCTTTCCCCTCTCTCTCAAATAAATACAATCTTTTAAAAAAAGAGCTACAGGGACTGCAGAGCCACTGTCAGCCACTGCCCTGCCTGCTTCCATGCACTTTTACTGGGCTACTCCAGCTTAGATTTCTTAGTTTGATTTTTTCCAAAACGAAAATAAGTTTTTGGTTATATAATTATAAAGATTATATACATTTAGAAAATGCAAGCAACTACTGACAGCACAAAGATGAGAGGGAAAAGTCACCTAAAGTTCCATCATCTTGAGAGGTAGCATCTTGTGAACATCTTTACAGATGTTCCTGTGGATTTGAAGTCACACATGGTAGATGTGCTGTGTGGTACCTTGCTTTGTCCTCTTGACGACAGTGTAGTGAGGCTCCAGCAAGGTAAGAGTAGGCTGCTCATCAGAGATGTGTGCATGAGAGCAGGATGGCTCTGGAGTGTAAGAGGGTGTAGTAGGGGGCTGTCTGCCCAAGCTGGCCTTTTGTCGTCCTCATGCTCACTCACCTAGGGGCTCTGCCCTCAGAGGGCAGGCAAAGAATTCAGTAGAGGTCTGGCATGTTCCTGGTTGTGAGCCCTTGGCCACGGAGCCTGGTTGCTTTGGAAGGGGACTGAACAACCCTGGTCTACCAGGTTGACGAGGAATCCGAAGTCCCCTGGGCAGAGATCTCTATCTGTCTCACCATTCCCTGCCCTCGTAAGAGCCAGGCAAGGTCACGCTGCAGTGAGAGAAGTGGACACTAGGTGGCGCTGTGGAACCCACACGGCACAGCCCACCCCCAGACTCAGCAGGCCTCGGGTACTGCAGGTCACATGAGCATGCCGTGCTCCCTGCACGCGTCTACACTTCGTTGTCCCCAAGGAGCCCATGGGGCAACCCATTTGTCAAGGCCCTTCTCGAACTTGTCCCCGGACGTCTCCAACCTCCACACCCTGTTTCAAGAGCGGGTTCCTATCGCTACAGGCAGTTTCCACCTCTGGCCTCAATTTATCATTTGCTGGACCACGATTCCCACCCCTCCCGACCCCGGCCGCCTATCCTTAGAACAACACGTCACCTGGTGCTAAAGACCCAGCATCAGCACTTCCTCTGTAAAGCCTTCCTGATCTCCACCCACCCACAGCCTTGCGGAACACTCCCCGAGCTGGGGCAGGACCTGGTTGTAATTACCTGAGCCTCCAGCCCCAGCCCCCAGCACAGGGCCTGGCACAGAGCTGACGTCATGGAGTGAATCAGTTCTCCAGTTCAGTCCTGGTAGGCCCGAGTTGAGGCAGAGGGCTGGGTCATAAAAAACCCCAGACCTGCACTTCCACGGGCCTGGACTGAGCCTCTGCCTCAGGTACCTTGATCAAGGCTTTCCCCTCCCTGGGCCTTAGTTTATTCTTCTGTAGACTGAGAACTGTGGACCAGATAGTCTCTAATGTCCCTCCTAAAAGGACTCCTCTCTGCGCCCCTGGTGTGAGAGGTGAGGAGTGACTTGCTCAAGGTCTCATAGTCCTCAGGATTCAGGTCTGAGCCAGAGATCACTAACCCCAGGTGTCAATAGGGGTTAGTGATCTCTGGCTCAGACCTGAATCCTGAGGACTATGGCTTGCTCTTCAACCCCAGGTCCAGCAGTGTTGGGGTTATCTCTGTCCCCACGGGTTTTGGCTGAGGGAGCCCCAAGGGAGCTCCGAGGAATCCCCAAGGGGGCCTGTACCAAGCGAGCAACAGCTTCCACCCCTCCACAAACCACCTCTACACATGCGCACTGCAGCTTGTTTAAATCTAACACACTTGTTTATTGTGAAAACAATGTAAGCTCTGCAGGCATTTTGGAAAATAAGGAAAAACAACCAACACCCACAGTCTCCCCAGCTGCCCACTCCTCAGCACCAAGATGGAATTAAAACCAACAGCCCTCACCTGCTCTTTGCAGAGCCTCTGTGAGCACATCTCCTTCCCTGCACCCTCATCTTCTTAACAGCCTAGAGAGGCTGCAGTGGCGGTCCCATTTAGAGATGAAGAACAGGCTCAGAGAGTAGGAGGTTCCCCTGGCTGGGAGGGGCACCCCCAGGAATTATCAGTCTGACCGTATACCTACTACACCTGGGCTGCCCTTTCAGGCCGGGATGATTCACCTTCAGAAGGGCACACTTGAGCTAGGGGAAAGGAAAGTCAACACCCTTGCATCCTTTCAGCAACACGCTGACTTGACTTTCCCCCAAGGAGCCAGGGAAAAGCAGGGTTTTAGGGGGCTAGAACTGAATGTGAATCCTGACTGTTCTGTGTGATGCGAGGAAAGCCATTTCACCTCTCTGGTGTCAGTAACTATGTCTGGAAATGAAGTATAAAGGTACGCACCTTAAAGGATTCTGGAAAAAGTAAATGAAACGCCCACGATATGAGCTCTATACTTGTCCAGAGCAACGTGGAGGTCACTAACCTGCAAACCTTAGGCAACTGTCTGGTCCAGAAGAGTCCAGTCTTCATTTCCGAGCAGGATCCTGCCCCGATGGGGTCTCAGGCCCCCTGCCTTCAGGCCTGGCTTCCCTTGGTGCTCTGGAAACACACTTCTGGCCAGTCCTCCCGGCCCCAGTTCCCCCAGTCCTGCTCCTCGCTTTCCCCAGGGCCTCCCCAGGGTCCCACCTGAACACCAGTTGCTAGGGATGAGTCTCCCTCTTAAAGGGACATACTGGTGGCCATAAGGGCCGCCCCATCTGGTTTTCCTGGTTCAGTGTCTCAGGGCAGTTCACTCCCCTCTCCGGGTTTCAGTGTCCACATCATTGAAATGGGTTGCAGTGAGACATTAGGGAGAGACTGTGAAAGGTATTTGTTAAGGAAACTGGTTTACTACAGGTCTAAAGTGTAGGTGTGCTATTGTTGGGAGCTTATTGTTGCTTGTCTCTGAAAGGGTGGACCCAATCCACACGAGACAAACGCTTGTCCTACCCTATGGGCCTCATCCTATAGCTTCTGGATTCCAGTACAGGGTGGAGCCCAGGTATTTGCATTTAACCAACTCCCTAGGAATGCTAATGCAATGAAACAGGTGTAAACTGTGAGGTGTTAGAGACTAATTTGGCCACTTATAGCTCCACCCACAGGCAGGCTCTGGGAAGGTGTTTTATGGCAGCCAGTGGCCAGAGTCTTAGAGGCCAGATCTGGGTGGACCAGGAGGTGCAAGTGAAAGAATTCGGTCTTCCCTCCTGTGGAGATGGTTCTGTTTTCTGTCTCCATCCAACAGAAAACAAAAGCTTCTTGTTTTTGTATAGTGTTCCCAGGACTCACAACAATGTCTGGCACAATGCAATTGTCTAACGAATGAGCCAAATTTTACTGCAGGGCCTGGAATGATTTTTCCTTTTGCCTCTGACTCCAGTGTGACTCCTCAGCATGTTTATTGATCCTGTCTTTAAAAAATTTTTTTATGATTACAGAAATTTTTTAAATTTTTATTTATTTATTTTTAGAGAGAGGGAAGGGAGGGAGAAAGAGAGGGAGAGAAACATCAATGCGTGGTTGCCTCTTGCACGTCCCCTACTGGGGATCTGGCCAGGCATGTGCCCTGACTGGCAATCGAACCAGTGACCCTTTGGTTCGCAGGCTGGCACTCAGTCCACTGAGCCACACCAGCCAGGACCTGTATTTTAAATTTTTTGATACTTTGTCCATCACAAATTGTTTTTAAAGATTTTATTTACTTACTTTTCTTAGAGATAGGGGAAGGGAAGGAGAAACATTGATGTGAGTGAGAAACATGGATCGGTTAGTTATCTCTCCTACATGCCCCAGCAACGGACCGAACCTGCAACCCAGGCATGCGCCCTCACCAAGAATGAAACCAGCAACCTTTGGTGTGGGAACTTGAGAACTGGAAAATTTTAGTTCTAGATAATAGCCAAAAAGCTTAGCAATCCATGCATGTAAAAAGTTATTGTTCCAGGAACCAAAGGTATGATCCACGTTGATTCCAGGAAACCGTAAGCAGTTCTACCTTTGTGCCTCAGGAGGACTGCGGGAGGTCAAGATGGTATCTGAGCCACCATATTCTAGGGTGAGGATGACCACCGCCCGGGACACAGATGAAAGAATGCCACAGATTTTTATCTGATTAACTTTTTCCCTGAATTCCAAACACCTTACCTATACTTTTCTTCTCCTTATGAAAAGGGTCGGTTTAAAATGGAATGTAAGACAGTCTGTTAGGGTACATAATCTGTTGTCTTCTCAGATCACCATCCATCTGAATAAAGTGCCCATAAAGATTCAACCCCTGCCCTGGTTGGTGTGGCTCAGCGGGTTGAGCACTGGCCTGCAAACTGAAAGGTCACTGGTTCAACTCCCAGTCAGGGCATATGCCTGGGTCGTGGGCCAACTCCCCAGCTGGGGGCATACGAGAGGCAACCAGTTGATGTCTCTCTCATACATCAGTGTTTCTCTCCTTCTCTTTCTCTCTCCTTATCCTCTCTCTAAAAATAAATAAAACCTTTTAAAAAATTTTTTAAAAAAACAAGATTCAATCCCCGTCTCTGCTTCTTGGTTCTGGTAGTGACAGTCATCACAGATGCGGGCTTTTCTGGTTCCACTTGCACTTTGCAAGAGGACTTGCAACCTGCTGAGCCACACTGATCAGCGCTCATCACCAATTTTCTTGCATTAATTTTTATTTTTAAAAAACATTATATTAAAACACCGTCTTGATTACTGAGTTTTTTTGTGCCTGCTTAAATTTTGTGCCTGCAGCCTCACCCAGCTCACCCTGGTCCCAGCCCTGTCAGTCAGTTAGGTGCTCTGTGCAGCCTTTGGGCACATCCCTTTCCTTTTTCTTCATCAAGTGGAGACAATAATACCTTCTAGAGCTGCTGTGAGAGTAAATGAAGACATGTGGTCAAGCGTCCAGTATGATGGCTGGCCCATCATCAGGGATCGACAAATAATAGTTTGTACTATCTCCCCTTCTATAGTCCTATCAGGTGGGAATTATGTCCCCATTAAATAGATGAAGAAACTGAGGCCCAGTGAGGGAAGGTGATCTGTTCAAACCCTATTGTTAGTAGGGATCAAACAGGAATTTCCTGGACTCTGACTCCAGGGGTCTCCTCAGGGCAGCTACCAAGACAGAAAAACAAACAGGCCATCAAAAACATGGTGCACAGTGGTGCCACTCAGGCGTGTGGATGAGTGTGTTTCTATATGACCAAAACTGCCAGAGTTGATCACTAGAATCAGGGCAAGGATGGCAAATGCAGCAAAAATCCCTTCCCAGGCACAGCTTCAAGCCGAAGGGCAACCCCTGGGAGCAGAGGGATATGGAGGCAGGCCTTTGGCTCTGGAGTGTGGAAAGAGGAAGAAACAGAGAGCCCTGGAGAAGACGAAGCTGCAGTCAACACATTTCCACGGGGGGTGGAAATATCTTTGAATTTCATGATGATACTAACACCCAGGGACAGTCTGCTACTTTTCTATTACAAAAATGGGATTATGCTTTTTCCATATTAAATATTCTACAACACAGCCCTGGCTGGTGTGGCTCAGCAGTGGATTGAATGCTGACCTGCGAACCAAAGGGTTACCAGTTTGATTCCCAGTCAGGGCATGTGCTTGGGTTGCAGGCCAGGTTCCCAGTAGGGGGCACACGGGAGGCAACCATACAGTGATGTTTCTCTCCCTCTCTCTCTCCTTTCCCCTCTCTCTAAAAATAAACAAATAAAACCTTTTTAAAAAATAAACTACAACAGATTTTTATTACTTCATCTTATAGATGGATCGTAGTTAATTTTACCAATCCCCAATTTGTTTTCCTTTAAAAAAAAAAAAAAAGACTATTTTCAGAGAGAGGGGAAGGAAGGAGAAAGAGAAGGAGAGAAACATCAATGTGTGGTTGTCTCTCACCGTGCCCCGTACTGGGGACCTGGTCTGCAACCCAGGCGTGTGTGCTGACTGGTGTGGAGGAAGGCCTTGAGAAATGAGTTGTTCTCACGCATGAGTCTGGCGATATGAAGGGGAACAAGGACACAGATGTTCAAACTGGCATGACCGGCAAGCTGGCATGCAGAATGTCTTGGCAGGTATGTTGCCAAGAATTGAACTATCTTGCTTGTTCTTTGGAGTTCGCTAGAGGCATGAAACGGCCTTGGTTATAGAAACACTTGAACCCTGAATAGCTAGGAGTGCACGTGACTGATAACATTGGTTTTTTGCTTTGAATGCGTTACTGTTCACCCTCATTCTTTTCCTGTTTAATAAATATGATGAGAAAACCCTGCTTGGGGCTCTTCAGCCTTGAACTGCTGAGTCGTCTGCTCCTCATCTTCATCGAGATCAGCGATTGGTCTTTGTTCGTAACGGTTCACACTACAACAGACTGGGGACTAAAGTGGCGACCCTTTGGTTCGCAGGCCGGCACTCAATTCGCTGAACCACACCAGCCAGGGCTTTCCCCCCTTTTTTTTATATTCTAGAAGTTGAACTTCTGGCTCAAAAGGTTTTCCCATTTTAAGACTTTGGCAGGAAAAGACTGTTTAATCAGTAACAGTGTCAAGCACATCTATACAAATTCTCCTTTGGCGTGAGCCTGCTGTGTGCCAGGTGTTTCGCGGGTTCTTTTCCACCAATTTTTTTTTTTTTTTTTTATGTGCAAAGCAACCCTACAACGTGGGTGGTTCTTCCCATTCTTCAGATGGACATACAAAGCTTCAGAGAAGTGAAATGACTTGTTTAAAGTCACATAGTGGAGCTGGGAAGATAACCTAGAACTGACCCCAGGGTTACTGAGATGATTAAATAGTTGTGAAAGAGAGATCCAGGAAGGTTTCTTGAAGGAGGTGGGCCGTGCGCCGAGCCTTCTGGGGTGGAGAGAATGACAGCAGGAGAAGAGAGTGGAAGGCCATCTGGCAAAGTCCAGAGCCTGAGCAAAGGCCATCAGATTTCAAGCTCATGATTTTTAGGGCAAAGGCATTAGCAGGGAGGGGCGAGTCTTAGAGTGATAGGCGGAGTGTTGAGCCAGTCTCGCCCTCGCCCCGCCCGGCCCCGCACTGCGGCCTCAAGGCCCCACCCCCGTCCAGCCCCTCCACTGCCAGGTGCAATCTGAATCATCCCGCTAGGACCCAGCGCTGTCACTATCCCTCTCTTCCGGGTTCTATCCTTTACTCCCCTCCAGGCCCAGGCCCCGCCTCCGTACGGGTTGGAACAATTAGACTGTTTCTATCGGGCTCTGCTCCGCCCCATTTAACGCCCTTTCGGCGCCTAGTGCAATCAGAATCATCCTTACGAGTTCGCTCAGGCTCCGCCCATACCCCCGTCCGGGCCCCCACCGCCCACCGAGACCACGCCCTGGGCACGCCCCTTTCGAGTTTGGCGCATCCAGGCCCGCCTCAAGCCCCGCCCTATCTGGCCTCCCAGCGGCGCGGCCCCGGCGGCCACATCCCGCGACTCTGTGGGGCGCGCGGAGCTGCAGCCATGGCTGTGACCACTGAGGGCGCCCGCAGGAAGGAGCGCGTGCTCTGCCTGTTTGACGTGGACGGAACCCTCACGCCGGCTCGCCAGGTAGGGCCTCGACCTTCGGAAGCTTGGGTCGGGAGTGTCACGCAGACACCCGGAGGCCGAATGCGGGGCCTGCAGTGGTGTGACCCTGACCTCAGAGGCCGAGTGTAGGATGCTGCCGTACTCGGTCCCTGACACCGCTGACCGCCGCTAGGAATGACGAACACCCAGGCCCTCACGTCACAACCCCGAACGTCCGGGCTGGGTCGATTCTGGAGGGAGGAGGCTGCGAGAGAGGGCCTAACCGCTCTCCCTGCCCCTCTGCCAGGCTTCCCCATGCCAACATTTGGCTCCTGGAGACCCCCGACTTCTCAGCCGGGGCTCACCCCAGTTAAGTCCTAGGACGCACCGGTAGCCGGAAGCTGGCGTCTGAACCCGGGTTTCAGACGGGGCTTGGAGCGCACCCAAGCGTCAGGGTGCCATCTGGTGGGGGGTAAGGGGATTTCGGAACCATCTCCTCCGGCCTTTGCAGGCCTGCGGCGGGGTCTGCTTTCTCAAGCCCCTCTCCCACTTCCCACCCCAGCCGTGGAGGGAAGGAAGGAGGGCTTTTCGGTTGACTATGGGCTCTGCCCACCTGGAGGTGAGAGTTCTCAGGCCTAACCTGGTCACCCTGGGGATATTGTGGCCCTGGGAAGCTGGGAGTGCAGCTCTTTTAAAGGTATCTCACTGTGTTGATCCTCCAGCCTCTGCTCCACACCCAGTTTTTCTCCCTTTGGGTTGCACCCTGGATGAGCCACCAGACAGACCCATCCTCACTAGCTGGATGCTTGGATAAACAGGCCTCTTCCCTGCCTGCCCTGAGTGTACTCCACCCTCCAGTCTGGTCCCACAAGGACCAACCGTGGGATCTCCTAGAGTGGGGAGCCAGTAGGGCTGGGTTACAAGGCAGAGGCTGATGGAGACAGGTCTTAGCGTCCCCTCGTCTGTCCGGCAGGCCCCATCCTCTCCCCTGCGGGAGTGCCCTGGATTAGGTCCTGGGGGCACATGGAGGAACCAGGCCTCCCTGCCCTCCAGCAGCTGCCAGAGTCTTCAGGGATGAGAGAAAGTTGACAGCGGAGGGAGAGTGGCAGGGTCTAGAAACAGCCCCTTTCCTCTGACTCTTTGCTTCTCCAGCCCACAGTGAGCCGGAACAGTGTGTTAAGGCTGCCCACCAATATTATTGCCAGGCCCTGTCCACAGAGCTTTTTATAGGTTAATTTTTAAAAGATTTTAGTTACCTATTTTAGAGAGAGGGGAAGGGAGGGAGAAAGAGACGGAGAGAAACATCCATGTGCAAAGAGAAACATCAGTCAGTCACCTCTCAAATGTCCCCAACTGGGGGACCTGGTCCGCAACCCAGGCATGGGCCCTGACTAAGAATCAAACCTGAGACCCTTGGGTTCGCAGGACGACGCCTAACCCACTGAGCTATACCAGCCAGGGAAAAAGTTAATTTTTAATTATACAAGTATAATTTGTGAATACTTGTATAATTAAAAATGCATTCCCTTGTAATAAATGAAAACAACAGAGAAGGCTAATTCTCCTCTTACTCTGTCAGGATCCAGTCCCCTCCCCACAGTAACCTGGTTGCCTGTTGGGTGGCTTCCTTTCGGAGTTCTGTCTGGATTTCTGCCCAGAGGAAATATTAAGTATTGTTTTATGAGGCTTTAAAAAAAATAAGTGGTATCATGCTGTGTGTGCCTTCCTGCAACTTGTGTTTGACAGTTAGCATGTCTGAGGCCTCTCCCGTGCTGGAAGCACAGGCCCGACTTATGCTGTGTAACCACAGTATAAGATTTCGGAGCGGGTGCGTGCCATTTTCTGATTGATGAGCTCGTAAGTTGCTTGAAGTTTTCTACTATTATAAACCCAAAGGAACCTCTGTATACACATGGGCAAGGGATGTGGAAGTGCTGGGTGACAGGACACGCTCAATTTAAATTTTAGTAGATTTTGCCAAATCCCCCTCCAGAATGGCTGTACAGCTCTCCGCTGTCACCGGCAGCATTTGAGAGTGCCCGTTTCCCCTGCATCGTCGTCCACTCTCGATATTGTCAGCTTTGAATATCTGAGTGTTTGAAGACATGGATTGTAACTCATTAGTTTACATTTCTTTGCTGGAGAATCTTTTCATGTAAACAGTCACCAGTTGTTTGTTCATTTCCAAGCACTTCCTAACAGTGACCCCTTCCAGGTGTTGCTACTGTGATCCCCCTTTTATAGATTGGACAAAGAAGGCAGAAAAAGGCAAAGCCTTTTGCTCAAGGCTATTGAGGGACTTGAGCCAGAGTTTGAATACAAGTGCCTCTGAGTTTTTTTAGGTCTGTGTCCTAAACCTTGAACTGCCTCAGATCCAGGTGGGACATGGGCTCCCTGGATTCTGAGCACTAAATGAGGGCTGAGTGGAGGCCCCAGCCATGCTGACAGCCAGAATCCTTTGCTTCCCTGCCCCACTGCAGAAAATTGACCCTGAGGTAGCTGCCTTCCTGCAGAAGCTGCGAAGCAGGGTGCAGATCGGTGTGGTGGGCGGCTCCGACTACTCTAAGATTGCCGAGCAGCTGGGAGAGGGGGATGAAGGTAGGAGGAGCTGGCCAGAGCCAGCTGCACGGCTGGTTTTGGGGCGGGGGTGGGAGATCCCTGGATCAATGTGTCTTCAAAGACCCAGCCCTGCTCCTGTGGGGCAAAGGAGGTAGAGGAAACAGCCAGATATTTCCCTCACTGTTAGAGCAACCATTTAGTGAGCACCTACCATATGCCAGGCACTGCTTTTGTTTTTGTTTTTGTTTTTTAAGATTTTATTTATTTTTAGAGAGAGGGGAAGAGAGGGAGAAAGAGAATAAGAGAAACATCAGTGTGAGAGATGTTTATCAGTTGCCTCTTGCACCCCCTAACTGGGGACCTGGCCCACAACCCAGGCATGTGCCCTGACTGGGAATTGAACCAGTGACCTTTTGGTTTGAGTCCCGCGATCAGTCCACTGAGCCACATCAGCCAGGGCCAGGCACTGTTTTTTGGAGAAACAGTAGGGAACAAAGCAGGCAGAATCTTGCCCTTATATTGTTTATATTCTTGTTGCTCCCTGCTGAGTCTCAGTTTCCTCATCTTTAAAATGGGCATAATCAATAATGGCTACCATTTATTGAAAATGACTATGTGTTAACTTCCTTTCATTTAATCCTCACAACTATGCTTCAGTGCAGCCATGATTATCCCATTTTACAGAGGAGGACTCTGAAGTCAGCCAGGAAGTGTTTGGACCAAGAACCCCTGTTCTCAGCTGAGTTCCTGATCTTAGCTCAGGCAGGTGCACCAGCTCCTCAAACCGGAAACTTCCTGGAATTTCCCTTTTCCCCACCCCCTTGTTCACCTATCAACCAGTCCAGAAATATCTCCCTATGTGTCCTTGCCTCCATCTCCACCTCCCCCGACACTCCCCCACCGCGCGCCACCATTCATCGATCACCTCCCACCTGGACCGTGCAACAGCCTCTGACTGTGTTCCCTGTGCCTCCCCACTCCTGCCCACTCCAGTCACTTCTCAGGGCAGCCAGAGGTGAAAACTCCCGCAGGCAACCTGCCCCGACAACACAGTGATGGAAGGTGTAAAACAAAACGGAAGCCCCAGCTACAGAGGGGCTGTGGGAGCACCGATGGCCAATGACGCCCTCTGCTGGGCAGTCCTGGAAGGGTTTCCAGAGGAGGGAGCCAGATCTTGGAGGAGTGGCGGGGGAAGGGCTGGGAAGGGCATTCCAGGCAGAAGGACACGCATGAGCAAAGGCCTAGAGGTGTGACTGACCTGTTTGCTTTTTGCAACAACAACAACAACAACAAAAGCAAAGCTGCAGAAGGCGAGAAGTATAGAAAAGCAGGTTCAGGATGGTACAAATGGGCTTTGAATCAAACCCAGAAGTGTGGGCCTCATCTCCTTGGCTCTGGGTACCCGATCTCACCCTCTCTCTTTCTCCCCTGGCCTCTCATGTCCCTGAAGTCATCGAGAAGTTTGATTATGTGTTTGCCGAGAACGGGACAGTGCAGTATAAGCATGGACGTCTGCTCTCCAAGCAGGTCAGTGCCCCCCCAGGGCCTTAGCCCAGGACACTTTTCCACAGTGAGTGAGACAGTCCATGGTGCCCTTTGTCTGGTGGGGGGGGCCCATGCCCACCGCACTCAGAGCCCTGTGTTCCCTGCCCAGACCATCCAGAACCACCTAGGCGAGGAACTTCTGCAGGACTTGATCAACTTCTGCCTCCGCTACATGGCCCTGCTCCGGCTGCCCAAGAAGCGGTGAGACCCTGCCCAGCCTTGTGTCCAGCCGCTCCTCCCAGTGCTGAGCCTGAGGAGGAAAGGGGTGGTCTCTGATGGGACCTGGAGGTGCTCCAGCCCTGACTTATTGGTGGGTGGATTGAATTCAGGGCCTTTGCCTCCTTCTCTCTGGTCCCCATGCTCCCTCCCACCCCCATCACCACCAGCGGGACCTTCATCGAGTTCCGGAATGGCATGCTGAACATCTCGCCCATCGGCCGGAGCTGCACCCTGGAAGAGCGAATCGAGTTCTCTGAACTGGACAAGGTGCCCCCTTAGGCTGTAGGACCTCAGTCACTCAGCCTCTCTGAGCCTATTTTCTCATCAGTGAAATGGATCAGTAGTGGCGTGTTCCGATAAAACCAATAGCCTTTTGGACACCTCCCATGTGCCGTGGTTGTAGGCATGTGTGCATCTTTCCAAGACTACCAGTTTCCCTCCTCTGTGACCAACACCACCAGCCACCTACTTACCTAAATCCACACCCGGGGCATCCTTCACACCTTCCCACCCACATAGGGTCCAACAATCATTCCTGTTGATTCAGCCTCCGGAGTTGGTCACACATCTGTTCACTTGTGTCTCCCCCCGACACTGTAAAACCAGCCTGCTCTCCAGCAGTGCCCTTGTAAAGCACATTGTCTTGTCTCCTCTGTTTCCAGTCCTTCCACGGCCCCCCCTGCCAACTGGACAATGTCCCAGCCTTCTCCCGTGGTGCCCTGCGGGGTCTGCCCGGCTCAGGCCCCCCGCTTCAGCCTTCCCCCTGCATCTGTGCTTAGAACCTACCGAGGTCCCTCTCACATTTGTGCACTGCCCCTGCCAAACCTGGACTTGCATTTTGCTTGTCACCCTCACTACCCACCCTCCTCCTTCCAGGGATGGAGCGAGTCCATCCATCCAAGCCCTTTCACACTACCCTGTGCCTGTCCTCCTCTCTAGCCTGACCTCTGTTCTCTGCTTCATGCCCTCTGTCTCCTCCGGCCGCGTCCCCTCTGCCGATTGTGAGAGAGCAGGCAGTCTCCCACGCCAGGGCCGCGCCTTCAGACATGGCTCATCCTTTCAGCTCCCTCACATCTGCTCAGATGTCCCCTTCTCAGTGGGGTGGTCCCCGAACACGACATTTAACACTGCATCCCCTTGCCCCTCCTGGTCCTCTGTTTGGTTTCTCCCTGAGTGGCCCTCACCGCCCTCTTAACATACTGTGTCTCCTGCTTTTTATATCTTGGCTGTCATCTGGCTCCCCCACCAAAGCTGTGAGCTTGGTAAGGGCCAGGATTTCTGTGGCTGTTCACTGCCAAATCCCCTGTGCCCGGCACATGCCTGGCACATAGCAAGTACTCAATACTTTCTGTATGAATGAAATAGGTGTTATTATCCCCACTTATGAATGAGGAAACTGACATCCAGAGAGGGTAAGTGACTTGCTCAAGGTCACATAGGGGAATTGGTTGCAAAGATTTGAACTTGAGACAAGTTCCCCTGAGGGAGGGCGGGACTCTCAGTGGCACTTCCCAGCTCACAGACCTTCCGGGTCCAGGCCCTGGCCCTGCTACTGAGGCTGGGCGACCTCAAACCGGAGCAGCCCCTCTCTGGGCCTCGGTCTCCCACAAGTCAAGAGGGGGCCATGTATCCACCCAGAAGACCTAGTGAGCTCGCAGGAGCTGTGTGCCCAGCACAGGGCCCGGCTCGTGGCAGCCCTCTGAGCCCTGGTCTGCTTTTCTCCCTCCCACAGAAGGAGAGGATCCGGGAGAAGTTTGTGGAAGCTCTGAAAACTGAGTTTGCTGGCAAAGGGCTGAGGTTCTCCCGAGGTACGTCCCCCCACGCAGGGCCTGCGGGGCCCGACCCTGGAACCTCGCTCCTGAGGTCTGGCCAGAGCAGGGGCAGGCTCGGCCCAAATGGCAGGAACTCTACGCGTTACCCCCTCCCCGTCCTCCCCACCTAACCCCAGTCAGCACCCACCACCCAGTTGCTCAAGGCAAACAGTGAAGCGTCTCCTTTGTTCCTCCCCGACCCCTTCCCAAGTCCAGTCCACTAGCAAGTCCCAGGGCCCTCTGGACGCGCCTGCAATCTGACCGCTGCCCAGGCTCCGTCGGGCGAACCCTGATGCGCTGGCCTCCCACTGCCTCCTCACCTTCGACCCACCCCCACAGTGGCCAGGGGGTCCCCACGGAAGAACAGACCATGTCATGCCCCTGCCCTCCCCCGGCCTTCTCTGTTGCTGGACACTCCATGCCCTTACCTCCCTTGGGGGCTGTATTGCTCCTCAGCCACTGCCACTCTGGCTTACGTCTCAGCTTAGTGTCACCTCCTCAGAGGGGTCTCCCCCAACCACGCTGGCTAGGGAGCTCCTGCCACCTGCTGCCGCCCCACTGACTCGCCTCGATCAAAACTCTCAAGGGGATCCCGAGCCTGTCTGTTCCATGCCCTGTGCCTGGGCCTCAGGGAGCACCCAAGGGTGGTTGAATGAAATAATGAACAAGGTGCCTTACGCGAGCTCACCCATGAGTCGCCGCTCTGCTGGCTTTGTCTGCCCTGACCCCGCAGGAGGCATGATCAGCTTTGATGTCTTCCCTGAGGGCTGGGACAAACGGTACTGCCTGGACAGCCTGGACCAGGACAGCTTCGATACCATCCATTTCTTTGGGAATGAGACCAGCCCCGTGAGTATGGCTCAGCCCAGGTCCCTCCCACTCCAAGTCACCCCCGAGATCAAGGCCAGGACCCAGGGTGACAGAACAAACCTCTTGGGGGACTCCCAGAGAATAGCCCGTTCTCACCAGCCCATTACAGAGATTGGAAGGCCGGGCCCCGAGCTGGCTGGACACTTGCTCCCTGTCACACAAGTCAGGGCAGACCTGGTAAAGGAGAAGGAGGTGGCCTTTCTGGATGTTCTGAGGGGCCGTCCAGAGGGGGCAGCTCTGCAGGAGTCAGTGTGGGAGGAGACCCCACGCCAGGGTGGGTGCTGGCCCCCAGCCCTGGGAAGCTTGTCCAGGCCCCACCTTCTCTGTCTTCTCTGTATGCAGGGTGGGAACGACTTTGAGATCTACGCTGACCCCCGGACTGTGGGCCACAGTGTGGTTTCACCTCAGGACACAGTGCAGCGATGTCGTGAGATCTTTTTCCCAGAGACGGCCCATGAGGCATAACTGCGACTTCCAGAGACCTCCGCCCAGGCCGAGGGCGCACCCCTGGCCGTGGTGTTGGGCGGGGGCGGGGCCCCCCCTCCTCTGGCCCAGGACGCCAGCCTCACGTTACCTGCTGCAAGGCCCATCTTGGCAGGGCCAGGGCCTATGCGGACTGTCCCCAGCAGTCAGCTCCCGGTGGGACTGGCTCCAGCTGCTGCTTGTACTTCTGAACGGAAGAGGTTTCTGTCTGCACTGGGAGGGCTGTGCGTGAGTGTCGGTACGAGACAGAGCCCACCCTGCCTCCCTGCCCCGGACAGCAGCGGTGGGGAGGGTGTGTGTTTGCTCGAACTTTATCACAGATATTAAAGTTCCCAGAACAAAGTATGGCATCAGTTCTGTCTGAATGAATCATTGGTGCCAGTCACAGATGCTGTTACAGCCACCTCTTTGCAGGTGGGGAAACGGGCACAGGTGGCAGGGACTTGCCCCAGGTCACACAGGAAGTCTGATCCAGTTGGGGAGCGTGGTGTGGGGTGTCCTCCCCCAACCCCTCCCCCGGGACCCAGACAGACAGACAGGCGGCTCCGGGCCAGGCCGAGTCACAGTTGAGGGTTTATTGCCAGTGTTAGGAAGGGTGGGGGAGTCCGGGCGGCTAGGGGGCTCGGGAGGGTTTGTGGCTGGACACTGCAGGGCTGTGAGCGACAAGAGTGCTGCAGCTCCTCTGTCACCCAAGGTGGCCCCAGGGCTGATGTCCCCACACCCTGCCTCCTCGCCAGTGCCTCAAAAAAGGGATCTACTCACAGGAGGGGATTCTCGGGGGGCTCCCAGGAGTTAGCCTGCACCAGTCAACCAGCCAAGGAGGCCAGGGAGTGCCTGTTCCTCAGGGGAGAGGCCTCGGGCCTTTCTCAGAGCTGGGCGTCAGGCGGAGCCAGTGTCGGTTTTGGGGGGCTGGCCGGCACACCTCCGCAGCTCTGGGCTCCCAGGCTCTGGTGGGAGCTGAGGACAGGGACACACATCCCAGCTGCTCTCTATGCTGGGGCCTTGGTGTCTTCAGAGCTGGGGATCCTAGGTAGTCATTGACCCCTCGTCTTGGGCATCTGAGCCCCCATTTACCCACAGACTGGTCTCCTAAGGGTCACCGTCCAGGCAGGCCCTCCCTCGGGCCCCATTTCAATCTGTGTCAGAGCACGCAGTCTGGGCAAGGATGGCGGTGAGGGGAAGCCCTCCTTCCCAGCCTCCCAGGCCAGGCCAACCCCCGCATAAGAATGAATGCACACAATGCACACACATACACACACACCCCCCCCCCTCAAGGGATGGACAACAGGAACCACAACTCAGCCACTGGCTTTTTGGGGGCCAGCGGACGCCGCTGTCCCAGGGCTTTGGGAAGAGGGGCCAGCAAGGGGTTTTCAGGCCTAGTGGCCTCCCAGGCTGAGGGCCGTCTTTGTGGGTGCTCTGCCTGGCCCTGCCTGAGGGGACACGTATCCACCCATCACTGGGTCCTCAGCAGCCATCCTGCGGAGCACAGTGGGACAGGGCATCAGTGGGGCTTGTGAGTCAGGACGAAGGGGAGGCCTAAATCCAGGCTGGGGGGGCATGTCTCCACCCATGCCTCTGGGGAAGTGCAGGCAGCCTGACTCAGTGTGGCCCAGGGGAGAAGATGAGACCTCAGTTTGGGGTTCACAGAGCCGTTGCTTGGCTGAGAAGGGATGAGCCAGCAAAACAAGGGCCCCAAACTGCCTTTGCCCTCGGGCCCCTTTCCTGCGCCCCACCCCGCCGTGTGTGCTGAGAGAGCGGGAGGGAGGGGGGCCAGGCCACGGCGCCGAGGTGGGCAGGCCTGCCTCCACCTTCCGCCCTCCTTCCTTGCCACAGGCTGGGAGGCCCCCGAAGTGCTCGCTGGTCTGGCTTCTGAGGGTGGGGTCCAGGCCACTGTGGGAGACCCCAGCCCAGGGAAGGTGCGAGCAGCACGAGCAGACCCAGCCCCCGGGCCAGGGCCCCAGGCAGGGGCAGGGGCAGGGCCCAGGGGTGCCCCCGTGGACACAGGGACCGGTGGGCAGGAGGGCGAGGGGTCCTGTGCCAATGTGGCAGGGAGGGGAGGAGCGGGGAGAGTGGACAAGCAGAGAGGGCAGGTCTGGTGGCCCCCTCCTTGGGTCCAGCTCACATAACAGTCAAGGGTCGCAGGGCTGGATGGAGGCACACGCTCACGGCCATACGCACAGACAGACAGACGTGCACACTGAGGCCGCCCGGGGGACGGAGTCAACCCGCGCAGTGGGGCAGGGAGCCGGCGCCGCCTGTCCACCCTGGGGGCTCCCCGCCCAGCCTAGGAGCCCACAACCTGGCCGGACCACGTCTCGTGGGGGGTGTGGGGGGCCAGCTGCGTGAGCACCACCTCCACAGCCTGGAACTTCTGGTTCTTGGGCGGAATGGGGCACATCTTGAAGGTCACCTCGTCGCCCTCCACGGGGACGTACTCCCCTTCGATGCTGGAGGCAGGAAAGGGTTGTCAGCCGCACCGCAGGCCCGGCTCGCTGCACACTCCCTGCAGCCTGGCCCAAGGGCGGCCTCGCCTCCCCCTCAGGATCTTAGCCCTCCCCGCCATGTAAAACGGGAAGCACAAGCCGTCCTTTCTGTGTTTGGGGATTGAGTGAGATGTGAAAGGGCACAGGGGGGCCTCTGAGGCTTTAGAGAATCTGTGGCCTCCCCAGGTCATGCCTGGCATTGGAGTTGGGACACAGGCCTAGGTACCTGTCGCCTCCTGGCCTACTTGCCTGAAGGCCCCTTCTGGGCAGAAGGGCCCAGGGGCTGGCCCGGCCCACCCAGGCCCCTGATGCTGAGACAGGGTCCTGGGGCTCAGCTGGTGGTTCCTGGAGCTCTGGGGGTCTGAACGCCCCTGTCAGGCCGCCACCCCAGCCCCTGAGAGGAGAGCAGTGCTGGGGGAGTGCAGGCCTCAGCCATGAGCGGGAAGACCTGGGGAGCCTCCCCGGCGGCCCTGCGGGGAGCTGCAGCCCAGAACAGGGAGGGGGGAGCGCCCCCGGAGTGGGGCACGGGGGACAGGACTCACTCTGACACGTGCACAAAGATGTCCTCAGATCCGTTCTCAGGGGTGATGAAGCCGTGGCCTTGTGAGCGGGAGAACTGCTTGCAGACGCCCTTGAACACGGGGCCAGCCGAGGCACGGGCTGTCCTGAGGACAGAGTAGGGGAATTGGAGCTGTGGCCTAGAGACACCCTCGCCACAGACCTCCACAGCCCCCCTGAGCCCTGCCTGGTGAGCCTGCCCTGGGCAACCCTCCCCAGGCCAGAAACTGCCTTCAGCTGTGATAATTCAGTCTTCTCGTTGCAGTGACAGAAAAGGACCCTGGGGCCCAGAGAGGGGAGCTGGCCCTCCCGGGGCACAGAGCAACTGCCCCCTCTCCGCACAGCACCCGCCCCTCGCCACTACCCCCTGGAGCGGCGATACCCTATTCACCTGTGTATACATGTTTCAAATTATAAGAGAAAGTTTATTTAGAAAGTTACAGAGAAAGCAGAAGTGAGACAGTTGGGTTGGGTGGACTCAGGAAACAAGCTACAGAAGCAAAAGAAGGGCCCTTGGAGCTGAGGAGAGAGAAAGGCACAGGGAGGGGCCCGGGGAAGGAGAGGGCGGCGGGAAAGGTGCGTGCTTTCGATCGCTTATTGAGCACCTGCTGTGTGCCGGGCCTCGGGTTGGACACAAGGGACACTCAGCACTTCCCGTCAAAAACTCCTCCTCCTTTGGCAAAGCCAAGTCAACCTCCCTGTCTGACAAACCCCCTCCCCACTCTGACCCCATCCAATGACTGTCCTCAAAGGCGCACCCTGCTGCAAAGGCCAACCCCCTGCCTCCACTTTTGCCTGGCTGTTCCATCTTCCAACTTTGTCTGTCACCTAATGTATCTTCCAAGCCCAGCAAGGACAGCACCATCCCTAATGCCTAATGCTGGGTCCTCACTCCCACCCCTGCTAGAGGGAGTGAATGGCAGATGAATTCCCTCAGAATTGTATGCAACTCGTGGGCTGAGACTTTGTATAATTGGACAGGGAGGGGAGGAAGAGGGGAGAGTGGACAAGCAGAGAAGGCAGGTCTGGTGGCTGCCGCTCAGTCACAGGGCCGGATGGATGCACACACTCATGGCCATAAGCACAGACAGACAGACATGCACCCTGAGGCCACCTGGGGGCCTTTGTATAACTAGAGCCCCTGGTCTCTATAAATAAAAGGAGCTCGATAAATCTTTGAGGAATGAATGAATGAGTAAATGAAGGAACACTAGCAGTTACTGAAAAGGTCATGCATAGCTCTCCTGTCTTTGGGAAAGAACAGGGGCTGGAGAAGGGCGGGGCTGAGCCTGGGCAAGGAGCGGGTACTCACGCTGAATACGTCCTGGTGCGTTTGGTGGGCAGGGGACTGGGCAGGTCCCGAGATGAGACGCTGCCCCTCTCCCAGACCCTACTGCCCTCCCGGTGGAAGGGGAAGGTGGGCCAGACGGGAGACTTTGGGGAGTGGAGTGGGGGCACGACCGGGGACGATGTGGGCTCCGAAGTCATGGCGGGGCCCGCGGGAGAGCCTGGTGGGCTCCCGGGCACAGGGGCCGGTGACGGGCTAGGGCGTCCGTGTGGGCAGGGCCCGGCCTGGCCCTGCTCGGAGGCCTCTCCAGCCACAGGCTCCGTCTAGAAGGGAGGAGAGAGGAAGAGGTGAGTGTGGTCCAGGATGGGCAGCTTCTGGACACCCAGCGCCCGTCTGGAGGGCAGGGCCTGCCTGCCACTCCTCCCAGAGTGAGGTCAGACCGCTCACGGCCCTTCTCTGACTCAGTGTTCTCACCAGAAAGACAAACAATCACAGAATCTTGCTATGGGCTGAATTGCATTCCTGTAAATCCCCGGTGTGATGGTATTTAGCGAAGGGGCCTTTGGAAGGCAGCTAGGCTTAGATGAGGTCAGGAGGGTGAGCCCCATGAAGGGATTAGTGCTCTTAGAAGAAACCTTGGAGGCCTTGCTTCCTCTCACCCTGGGCTGCGAGGACAGAGTGAGAAGGGGACCATCCACAAATCGATGAAACCATGCGGGTACCACGAGCTTGACTTGTGGCCTCAGAACTGTTGGGAGGGATGTCTGTTGTTTAAGCCCCCGCCTGTGGTATTTTGTTTGTTACGGTGGCCCATGCTGAGGAAGACTGGCCTCAAAGTCCTTCCTGCCTCAGGTTCAATCCTCTAACTCCAGGGACCTGGGAGGTGGGACGGGGAAAGCGGCTGAGAATGGTCAGGAACAGAGTTTGGCCGGAGCATCAGCAGTTTCAGATCCACAGATCTGGGTCTGAATCTCAGCTTTGTCATTCGTAACTTGGTGACCTCAGTTCCAACTTGATGGGTCGGTGTGTGGGCCCTGGGCCCAGATGGCCTGGGTCTGAATCCTGGCTTCTCTACCTACAGACTCTGTGACTGTGGTCAACACTCTTAACCTTTGACTCAGTTTCCTGCTCTGTAAATTGGGGACAGTGTTGGTTCTTACTTCACAGAGAGTTTACTGTGGAGGATTAAGTGACGTTCTACATGCTTAGAACAGGACAAAGGCAAGGTGAGCTCTTGGGAAGGTCAGTAGTTTTTCCTTATCCCTGTTCCCTCTTTAAAATGAGACTGAGGACACTCACCTCACAAGGTTGTTGAGGATTCAATGATTTAGTGTGTGACAGCATCTGGCATCTTGTAGATACCCAATAAATTGCTATTGTCAATGCGAACCAACAGGAATTCCCAGGTCAACAGCACAGTGTGTAGATAACCTTGAAAAAAATTCATGTTTTTCCTCTACTGAGGAAGCAAACACACCACATTTTGCTGTGTATAATGCACACCTACATTTTGTGCGCATTATACACAGGATTAATATACCCATGGTATGTAACCATTTATACCCATGTATAATGTGCATCCTTATTTTTCCCTCAAAAATTTGGTCAAAAAGACGTGCATTATACACAGCAAAACATGGTAGTTTCCCCACCCTCCCTCGCCACAGGGCCTGGGAAGTTTTGGACGCCAAGAGGCGCTGCTGTGGGACCCTGGGGAGAAGAGCTCAGTGTACCAAGCCAGGCTGTGGACTGAGCCTGGGCCAGGCAGCCTGCCACAGGGGCCGGGCAGGGTGCCTGGACGGAAGAGCTCCAGCTCGGCTGCAGATTAGCTTCTGACCTTGGGGAGCAAGGCCTCATCTGCACAAGGGAACTGACAAACCCTCTTCATCCCTCACAGGCTACGGGGGGCTTGGCTAAGCCTGGGGATGTAAAGAAGCTTCCAGAGTCCATAGTCAGGTAGAGGTTGGGGTGGTGGGTTCTCTGCCTCCTCACCCCCATTCCTCCACCTCCTCAACCCCTCACCCAGAGGCTCTGGGGTCAGAGGAGAATCCCTGAGCTGCAAGCCTATTTCTGGCCTCCATATTGCCCCATCCCCAAGCCTGGAGTTTCCAGGGGAGAGTTTAAGTCTTCCAAGGAGTCTAGAGCCCAGGAAGCCCCAAAAACATCCACAGTACGGCTGGAAGAGCAAGGAGTCACTCGTGAAACCCCTGTCTGTGGAGCAAGATTCCTGGCTGCCGTCAAAGATTGTACAGCAAGTGGGGTCTTTCTGGGTCAAGGTGATGAGCGGCTTGGCCACCCCTCGGGGCACAGGTGCGACTTCCTCCTCCCCAGCAGCCCACCCGCGTACCCCTTTCCAGCCAGCAGAGCTGGGGGGAGAACTGCCCCTCATGGTTCCCCACACTCATGGTTCCCCACACTCATGGCCCCCACACTCATGACCCCCACGATCACGGCCCCCACAGTTATCACCGCACAGCCGTGGTCCCCACAGTCACGGCCCCCAGAGTCCCCATGGCCCCCATAACTCCCCTCAGGTTGATGTCGGGTCTTTCTCTCACTCCGAGAGGAAGGAGTGGACCAAATTTGGCATTTTTAGCCCCATTTTAGAGAGAAGACTGAAGTTTCAAGAAAACAGGCCTTCGCACAAAAACTTATACATGCATGTTCATGGCAGTATTGTCTGTAAGAGCCAGAACGTGGAAGCAACCCAAAGGCCCGTCAGCTGGTGAACAGATAAGCAAAACGTAGGACAGCCGTACAGTAGAATATTATTCAGCCAGAAAAAGGAATGAAGTCCTGACGCACGCTGAAGAGAGGAACCTTGAGCCATCACGCTAGGAGGAGAGGCCAATCACAAGAGACCATACAGTGCCCGATTCCATTCATGAGAAACGACCAGAATCGGCAAATCCGCAGAGGCAGAAAGCAGACAGTGTTTACCAGGGGCTGGAGGAGGGCAAAATGGGGAGTGACTTCTAATGGGTAGAGTTTCTTTCTAGGGTGATGAAAATGTCCTAAAATTGACATATACAATTCTGTATATGTACCCAAAACCACGGACTTGTCCACCTTCCTTAAGCAGAATTAGATGGCATGTGAATTATATCTCAATAAAGCTGTTACCAAAAAGGAAGACGGGCAGCAAAGCTCCCCAAGATGACAGCCAGGAAAGCACGAGGTGCCAGGCTGGTGTCCCTTACCTCACCTGGGCGAGGGTGGCAGGTGGTGGGACAGAAGCTCTGCCTTCCTCTCTGCAGGAAGCAGGGAGGCCCTGCCCACTGCATAGCTTTTCCAGGCCTGGTACTGTGCTTGGTGGTGACAGCCAGTGCAGGGAGGTCCTAGGGGGTGGAGGAGAGTGAAGGAGAGGGGGAGGGGCAGAGGCCGCCCACAGCGGTTACCAGGGAGACGCAGCTGTGCTGGGCGGGGCTCTGGCCAGCCAGGCTTCCCACGCCAAGGCCAAGGGAGCATGGCTCCCAGGCAGTGGGAAGGGGAAAAGATGCAGTGACTTCCAGGGTCAGCCTTGGTGGCAGAGCGGCCCTCTTCTTGCCCTGCCCCCACAGTGGGCTCCCCAGAATGGACCAGCAGCATCCAGCCCCCACAGCAGTAGGCTGAGGCTGCTCCCCAACTACGTTCCTGGGCAGGGGCATGGCGCCCTTGGGAGAAGGCAGGGAAGGGATTCTGCCTTCCAGTGGAAGGGGCAGATGAGGCAGCCAGCCTTCACGGGGCTGCTGCTCTAGGCCCTTCCCCATCTGCTTCCTGTCCTGGAAACTGGGATTACAAGACTCTCTCCTTGACGAGCTCCTGGGAGGAAGAAAAGGGGTGGAAGGTGGGAAGGACCGAGTAGGTGCTAGGTAAGAGGTCACTCCTCCCAGACAGGGCTGCTAAATTGGGCAAAGGGCGAGGGGGAAGGAGAGACCCAGCTGAGCTAAATGGGGGTCCACCTTCACTCTCCTCTTCCCTGCCTCCCCGGGGACACACCCATCCACTTGATCCCTGTCCCATCCATCAGAGCTTCTCCTTTTATTAAATTTCCGCAACAGCCCTTTGAGGCTAGCACTATTATCACTCCATCTTGTGAAAGAAAAAACCAAGGCTCAGAGAAGCTAAGTCACTTGCACAAGGCCACACAGCAGTTAGCATCTGAGCCCGGACTCAAGTCTGGGCAATGCGACTCTGCAGCCGGGAGTGGGAGGTCAGGGGTCCCGGGTTCAGGCCCTGTGCTCTTGCTGACTTGCTCTGTGACCTTGGACAGAGTCTCTCCCTCTCTGGGCCAGAGCCCTGGACTTGAAGAAGCTGCGCCACGCCCAGCAGCCTAGGAGACCAGGGAGAAGTGACGCAGAGAGAGCCTCTAGCTCAGGCCCTTTCTCCCCAGTGGCGCTGCAGAAAGGGGCGAGTAAGTGTGGACTTCTACTGTCTTACTGTGATACATCTGTAAAAGTCTTTTCAGAGACAATTTCTCACTTCTCAGCCTCCCAGTTGCCCTGAAAGGTTGACATTGGAATTGTCTCCATTTTATACATGAGGAAGCTGAGGCTCAGAGAGGGTAAGCCACAGAGCCCAGATTCGTCTGAAGGTGAACTGTGCTCTTCCCGCGAGGATAACACTGGGTCTGTTCCCGGTTCAGCCAAGATGAGGCTGGAGTTTTCCCAAAAGAACTTTCCCTGAGAAACTAAAGGGGAAAATAAACTCCTCCAAGAGCAGGGAAACAGATGTGTCTGTAGGACATTTGTTTCCTTTCAAACAGACCTAAAGTCCAGCTCCCAAAAGCCTCGGTGTGCTGGTCTGGGGGCATGCCCCATCAAAATAATGACCTTCAGGACCAGCAGCCTGAGCAGGAGGGGACAGCTCAGGCCCTAGGTGTCCCTGGCTCTACACCACCCTAGCTGAGTGACCCCCCACCCCCAACCTTCTGAGCCTCAGGTTCCTCATCTGTCAAATAGGGCTGACTGGAGCAGCGTGTCCAGGCTGTGGGCGGAGCCGGGGAGCAGGGAGTGGGCCCACCTGTGAGCCGGCAGCTCCCTGGCCACGTGTTTTGGCTCCCTCCTAAGCCCCTGTTCATGTGCCTATGTGAAGGCCTCTTCTGAGCCTTCCCAGCTGACTCGTGATTCTGCAGATAAAAGGCCCAAGGGAGGCAAAAACAAAACATCAGAGCTGTTGGGAGACAACCTGAGGGAGGCCCCAGTGATCCAGCAGGCTTTACGGGACCATGGGACGGTGACTCAGCCCTGTCAGCAGGTGACCATTGCCCTGGTGCTGGGCTCCTCCAATTCTCAGCTCCTCCAAGAGGACAGGACAGGAAATGGCTGTCAGCGTCCTGTCCTGACCGTGCGAATAAGCTCTCCTCCTGGGCAGGTCAGGGGAAGCAAGCTGGCTCACCCTCCCAGTGCGGGGTGACCTGGGACAAGCACCTGACCTGGCTACCTCAGCTACACGAATCGCCACTGGTCAGGATGACGGATGAGGGTCAGTCCAACTGTCCTCTGAAGCTGTCGAACCGACATGCACAAGTGAAAGAAAACTGAGTGCCAGGTCCCGGAACAACAGACCTGAGAGGACGCAGCCCTGCCCTTAGAGGGCCCCAGGCCAGCGTGGGGAACAGACGGATGACGAGAACACAGTGTGGGAAGTCCCGATATGACAGCCATGGCTACTACAATACTGCTGATCATCAACCGTGTGCCGAGCGGGGTGCCAGGCCCCTGGCTCCGTTGCCTCGTTGAGTCTTCACCACAGCCCTGTGTGACAGCGCCATTATTACCTCCATTCTTCAGACGCGTAAACCAAGGCTCAGTGCGGTGAAGAGGCTTGCTGGGCTCACCCAGCCAGTCAGGGGCAGCACTTTCACAACCTGGAGACATTTGGGGGTGTAGATTGAACTTCTGCCAGGAGAGGGGAGGGAGAAGGAAGGGCAGGGGTGGGAAAGAGCTGGGGACTCAGGGCTTGGGGCTCTATTCCTGGCTTTGCTCTGACTCAGACCATGACCTTGGGTGAGTCACTTGCGAGCTCCGGTAAGCTTAAAAACAGCTCCCCCAGCAAAAACACCCCCGCCCAAGCCCCCATTGCGGAGAAGCGGACAGGGGAGGAGGGTATGGTGGCCTACAAACGGGAAGGACAGGGGACACAGGACGGCAGTGGAAGAGCTTTCTAAACGTCGAGGTTGTGTCCATGGTGAGCCCCAGGAGGGTGAGGAAACAGTCTCAGGACCACTGGGCAGAAGCTGGCACTTCCCCGGCCCCTCCCCCAACCCTGCCTCCCAGACACTCCTTAAAATACATCAGTGCCAAAGCTCCTCCAGCAGCTGGAGGTGACCTAATTAAGCCTGGTTCTTTCCTCCTCCATAGTGTGGGGGTAGAGGAGGGGGGCTGTCCCAGCCAATACTTAAGTTTAATTGAGACCCTTTCATTCTGGTCCTTGTCACATGCCCATGCCATGCCTGGGGGGCAGGCCTGTGGGCATCCTTGGCATCAGTGGGGGCGGGGATGCCTGGATGGGCACGTGGAGAGCCACGCTCACATCCCGGCTCTGCCAGGTTGTGTGACCCTGGGCAAGTCACTTTCCCACTCTGAGTCCCTTTAGAGAGAGGAACAGACTGGTCAAAGTAACACGTGAAGTGACTGAGCTTGAACTCTCTTCAGCATGACGCCAAAGCCTTTGACCTTCCCAGCGCACCCTGCTGCTCATCCTGGTGAACATCATTTTACTGTTCTGGGGGCAGATGAAGAGCGCCCCCCCGCTGCTTTTTGCCCCCCCCAATCTTGTTGCTCCCTATCTTGCCCGGACAAAGGTCCCAAATGCCCCAAGCCCCCTTTTTACCACACTCTGGAGCCTTCCTGGTCACGCTGGTTGTGAACAGCTCAGCCAGTCCCTGAGCGCCCTCTGCTGGTGCCACTCTTGGGGATCTACCTCCAGACCAGCCTCCAGGTGTCCCCTCCCAACAACTAGCTGTGTGGGACCCCCGCAGTGCTCCCTAGCGAGCCCCACTCCACAGCCAGGGGCCACCCCTGGACACTGCCCACTTGTCTCTCCAGGCCTGGAACTGTCCTCTGGCCCATCCCAGGCCAGTGTGCATTCCTGCTTCCATCTGTCCTTTTTTTGGAGGGTGGATCAGACAGATCCAGAGGGGCGGGGCAGGTATGGGAGCAGAGATGTTTTAGGAAAAGGCTTGAAGGAAATGGTAGGGGGGAGGCTGGAAGGAGGAAACATCCAGAATGTGGAGGACCCAGGGGCCTCTGGAATGGAGTCGGGTTTGGGGAACTAGCTCCCCACCCCCCAGGGGGCTGGAGACAGCCCCTTCCCAGAGAGAGGCCTCTACTGGAGCACAGCCGGGCTGGCCCGGTGCCAGGCTCCCAGAAGTTGCCCACCCCCCACTGGGGTGCACTTCCGCCTCCCCTCCCCCCTCCCAGCGGATGCAGCAGTTCACACTCAGTGTTTATTATTGTTCTCACTCAGCATCCCCCTCCCCTCTCCTTGGGAAGAGGCCGCAGCCTGGCAGGAACCTGCTGTCTCCGTTGTGGGTGCCAACGTATCATTGCCCCTTATCTCCGCCTGACTCCTTGGGCCGGGATCAGGCCACTCAGGGACTTGGCGCCAGCTGAGGCTGCCCCAATCCCTGCATCCCACCACAGGCGGCCCAGAAGCCCCTGGCTTACCCCACCTGCCCTCCAGGGGCTGCCCCCCAGCAAGGGCGGAGGTCAGAGCAGGGGAGAGGAGTGGCCTCAGCAGAGGCAAAAGAGGCGGGTGGGGCAGCTCCAAGGTGAAAATGATAGCACAGAGCCACCTCTCCCAGCCAGTCATAATTATCCCCATCGCGTAGGGAAGACACAGAGTCAGGGTAAGACAGCTGCTCCCAGTCCAACTGTCTGCTCCGGATCGTCCCTCTCCCGCCCCGCCCCAGCTCCAAATTCCTGGGGACAAGGCCCATTGTGTCCCCTCCTGCACTTTACTTTCAGCACCTGGTAGGAGCACAATTATTTAGGTTATTTCTCCAGTCATTTCTCTCCCTCTGGTTCCCAGACAGGAGGCTGCGGCTTGGCAGGTGCCCACTCTGCTCTGCTCTGCTTCTTGAGCCAGACACAAGTCCCAGACACACACATGCAGACACACGCTGTCTCACAGGGAGCCACACAGCCTCAGCTTCCCTTGGGGGGCCAGGGAGAGAGGGAGGGAGAGGCGAGGGCAGGGTGGGCTCCTCTACACACTCTCCCACATCACCTCCGTAAACCAAACGGGGCTGGTCCAGCCCTGGGGGAGGTACCCACCTTCCCCTATATCGTACCTCCCTCCTTCGCCCTTGCCAAAGCCAGTTTCCAGAGCCGGGGTGGCCTCAGCCCCCCTCCAGCCCCTTACCTCTCAGCCCCTGGCAGCTGAGGTCGGGGAGCCGGCGTCAGCACTCTGCTGCTCCTGGGCGCCTGGAGCTGGGCGCCGGGGATGGGTCTGAAGGATGTGTTGTGTGTATGAGCGAGTGCGTGCGTGCGTGTGCGTGTGCGTGTGCGTGTGTGTGTGTGTGTGTGTGTGTGAGCATGCGGCACCTCGGCCCCTCACTCACTCACACACGCCTTCCTCCTGACGTCAGAAAGAGCAGGAGGGAGGGGTTGGGGTGGGAAATTGTACTCCCCGCTTAAAGGCACATGGGGCCCAGACGCCACCTCCCTAGTCAGGCACAGGCTTGGGGAGAGAGTTAGCTGCGTCTCCTGGGGCCCTGAAGCTTCTTTTTTTGGAAAGTGGCTTTTATTGCCAGGCCAGCGTATAATTTGCCCTGCCAGGTGGGAGTAACCGCTGAGGAATGCAGGGAGGAAGAGCTGGGGGCAGCTTGCATTCCTGCCAATTAGAGAGCAAGTGGGGAGGCGAATGAGAGTGAGTACACCTGTGAGCGTGCGCGCTGGGGGCTGCGGGGGGGAGGGTGGGTCTGGGAGGGTGACAGCCACAGCAGAAAGGGTCCCTCAGAGAGTGCTCCCGACCAGGGTGGGAGCGGGGCGAGCCGGGTCCCCGAGGACTGTCGTACTTTCCTCTCCCCTCTGGACCATCAGAGCGTCCCCTGCTATCTGAGAGCACCCACACTGCTCACGCCTGCCCCTGGCTTGTCTCTGAGATCCTTGTGAGTGAATGCACGTTGGCAAGACCTGAGGACTCACCTCTTTCTCAGGAGGCCCTGGAGATATTTGTTTTGAATTGAAGAGGACCCTAAGGGAGTGATAAGCTTGCTGCACCCCTTCTCCCCGCAGCCTGGGGCTCTGCCTGCACCCCTCCTGGAGAGGTTCTGGGTTTGCACTGAAGACCAGCCCCGGGGGGAATCTCAGCCCCAGCACTTTCAAGCTGGGTGACTTTGGGCAATTCTCTTATGACTCTGATCCTCCACAACCTCACCTGTAAAGTTGGGGGTGCAAATGCAATATGTATACAAGCCATAAACCATATATAACCCCGGGGCCACATGGAGGAGGTGGCTACAAAAGTTTCTCCTTCTTCCAGTCCCTTCTCCTCAGCCTCCACATGAAAAGAAGGAAGCCTCTGCCTCGTATACCTTTAGTACCACTGAGGCAGGCTGGCATTTTCAAAAGAAGTCGTATTAAAATACAAAGGGGGGATTTAAAAGGGAGACAATCATGAAAAACACCAATAATGAATAAAAATAGCTAGAGATGCACTGAGGGCATTCCACTTGCCAGGCAACCTGCTTTGCCCTCATTTCAAGCCCGCAACAGACCAGCACTTTATTATCATCACCCTGTTCTGCTGGTGAGGAAAGAGAGGCTCAGATGGGAGGAGGGACTTGCCTGCCTTCATCACCTACTGGGGGGGGGTATTTGAACTGCGGGCATCCAATGCTCTCACACACCCTGCCCTTCCAGAACCTCCCAGGTCTGGCTCCCAGTCCGGGTTCCTGATTCTACAAGAGAGAAGGGGACACTCGCCGCCTGCTGTGACCTGAGGCCCAGAGCTCTGACTCTGTTTCACCTGCCGGAGGGCTTGCCCAGAGGAATCGTCCCCCTTTTAACTTGCTTTCCTTCTCTGCCTTCCTCTCTTCCAAAGATAACAGCTTCCATCATCTCATCTGCTTCTTAAACAAGTCTGCGAGGTTTACCTGCGAGAGGAAACAGGCTGGAAGACACGGTGGGGCTCCATGGAGTCACCTGGCTCCGAAGGGACGGTGACAGAGCAGGGGCCGTGGCGGCCCTAGTGATTCTCACTGCCCACCACCCACTGTCCCTCCCGCTGGGCACTGCCTCCCTGCGCTCGCCTAGGGACTCCCCTCTCATCTCTCTTGGTCCACAGGACCCTTGGCCCAGGCCTGGCTAGTTAGGACTTGGGCTGGAATCTCGATGCCGAGGCTGGCTCTTCTCCACATGGCTCCGGAGTCAGTGCAGCTTTGGCCTCGTGCTGTCGGAGGACGGGCGATGGATTGCACACCGGTGGGCCGGGAGAGGGGCGTGGCCAGGGAGGGCTTCTCCGAGGTGATGATGTGCAGGCTGAACCCCCGCTGACCGGAAGGAGCCAGCTTTGTCAGAATCTAGAAAGAAGACATCGTGGGAAGGGGACGGAGGGTCGGAAGGGCCCTCAGAAGCGCATGAGCCGTGTGCTGGAGGAGGAGGAGGGAGGCTGGTGTGGCTGGGAGACCTGGTGCGCTGTGAATGAGGCCAAGGCTGGGCCAGGGCTGGCCACCCTCCCTTCGCCCTCCCTGCCTGTCCAGCCTTCTTTCTCCGAGGCTCCTCCCCACCAGCTGGTGAACATGTGCCGGGGCTGCCAGCAGCCGGAGAACCGTGAATGGAGGAGGCTGGGCCGAGGTCTGAAGTAGTGTTATGATTATTCTCGACAACGAGAAGAGGGCACAGCTGTTCATTCAGGAAACGAGCAGCCTGTGGTACAACCCACCCACCCACACACAGTGAGTAACAAAGAAATTGTCTGCTTCAAACCAGGGGCTCTGCCGAAGGGGCTATTTTTGTGAAAAGCTGAGAATTCCAAAGCTCATCTCCTTGAAAGCCTCCCTCCCTCATGTTGGAGAAGCTAAAGACATGGGTCAGAGCCGAGCTATTCACTCCACCGGAATTATAATTCCCACTCTGTTACGGAATGTCAGCCCACCAACGGGGGCCAGTCCTGAACAGCCACGGGCTTGATCCCCATAGCCATTTAAAGTACGTACATCTCAAGGGTGTTGGTGCCACTTGGCAGATGCAGAAGAAGCTCAGGCACAGAGAGGTTAAGAAGCTTTCCCAGCATCACTCAGCTGGTAATGGAGCTGGGATTGAAACTCAGGAATTCTGGCTTCCATTTAAAGAACAAATGTACTACTGTTCTTTCTGTTGCAACACGCACCTTTGAAATGCCTTTTCAGGTCCCTGGATGCCCATCTGCCCCACCGTGGCCCTTGTCTCCATCCTGCCTAGTAAGTCAGAGTGGTCCTTCCTTCTTCCCTCCCTGTCCCCCAGTTATCTTCTCCGATCCGACTCCTGCCCTTTTGCTAGCGATCTTTTTCCTGCAGCTCTGATCACATGATCTGTTCATTGTTTATACATGGGACAGATATTTTTTGACTACCTACTATGTACCAGATGGCCTAGGCTCAAATACAGCAGTGAGTGAGACATACCCTCCTTGAGTTTACGAAACTGTCTCATCTAGGAAGAGACATAGTACCAAGTACACAAACAAATGAATGTATAATCACAAATATGAAGACAGCAAATTTGAGACCAAGGAGACTACTAGGGCCGTGTCCAGCTGCCGAAAGAGAGGGCCGAGAGACAAGTGCTCTGTGAAGGGGTCCTCTAAGCTAAACCCAAAGAATCACAAGGATCCAGCCTTGTAAAAAGCAGGGAAAGGTATTTCCTAAGGAGGGAACAGCATAGGGGAACTCCCAGAGGCAGGAACAAACTCTGTATCCAAGGAACTTCAAGTCACTGACGTGGCAAGAGCAGGGAGAAGAGCAGCGACGGTACTGTGCAGGGTTTGGGGGACCTGGTGAGAGGCACACTCCTCTCCTGAAATGAGATAAGGAGGCATGACATGCTTCCGCCTCCAGTGTCGCAGGTGGCGTGGCAGCCCCGTCTGGGGGTAATGATCAATGTGGGCAGGAGAATGAGGGAGAAGCGAGGGGTCCCCCGGCCTGGGCCTCCCCTGCATCCTGCCCTGAGCACCTGGGGCTGGAGCAGCCAGGCCACCCATAGCTGGCGCAGGGCTGGGATGGGCTGTGAGCCAGGCCTCCATCAGCCTTCTGTGCACACACAAGTGCACGCTTGAGCACCCTGGGCCGTGTGCCTCCACTTTCTCGACACCTGGGGCTCACTTCCATCCTTACCTTCTGAGCAAGGCTGTCTCGGAACATCCCTGGCTAAAGGGGCAGTCCCTGGTCAGGCAGTATCACCTTATCTATGTAACCTCCCTCCCTCCCTCCCTCCTTTCCTTCCTTCCTTCCTTCCTTCCTTCCTTCCTTCCTTCCTTCCTTCCTTCCTTCCTTCCTCTCTCTTTCTTTCTTTCTTTTTTTTTTTTTTAAGATTTTATTTATTCATTTTTAGAGAGGGGAAGAGAAATGTCAATGTGTGGTTGACTCTCATACGCCCCCAACAGGGGACCTGGCCCGCAACCCCGGCACGTGCCCTGACTGGGAATCGAATCAGCGACCTTTTGGTTTTCAGGCCAGCATTCAATCCACTGAGCAAGACTGGCCAGGGCGATGTGGCCTTTCTTGATAGCCATGCCTGAAATGACCTCCTGCATCTGCTTGTTCCCCATTTTCTGTTGGCCCCTCCCGGCTCCCCAGCAGCATGGCCTCATGCACAGCAGCCCCAACAAACACCTGTTGACTTTCTCCCTTTTGTTTTGGCTCAAGACAAAGCAGAGAGCAACATCCTGGGACACTTGTGTAGGTCCCTTCTAGAATCACTGTTCCCACTGGCACTTCAGCTGTGCCTTTGCCCCCACGGAAGGGCATTTTAAAAGTGCCCCGGTGAGAATGGTTCCTGGGCCTGTTCAGACACCATCCAGGGCACCCTTTGGTCCCTCGGAGCCTGCACGCCTCGCGAGCCTGGACAGTTCTCCCAGGGTTCAGAATCAAGGAAGTCTGGTTAGTTTGCGTTTGTAATTGAAACCTTTGTCTCTTTGCTTTGACTGCTAGAAAGCTTAGTGCTAAATTCTTCCACTGCCAGCAAGTTTCCAGGACAATGACCATCTCAGGGCTGATCTTCTCTGTCATCATCTTTTCGTTTAATCATCCAAGAAGTATTTGTCCTGGGCTTACTGTGTGTCTGGTCCTGGGGAATCAACAGCAAACGAAGCAGCCGAAACCCATGTTTCATGGCGCTCACGTCAGGAGGGAGCAGCAATAAAACAACCTAATAAGTACCCACGCCATATGTCAGAGGGCAATAAATGCTACAGAAAACTATTAAGTAGGGAAGGGGGAAGGGCGAGGAGGCTGGTTTGTGACTTAAAAAGGGGGTATGTGTGTCAGGGAAAACGACACCGAGGTGACATTAAAGCA